GAATGCTGACTTAGTATATACAGTAGGATAGTGAACTAGAGAAATGCACGATAAGGTACTAACAACTGTGCAGGCCGCGCAGCCATCATCCAGGAAGTATGGGGAGACGACCCCGGGTCCATGATAGCCATTGAGGCCGACTTAGTCGGAACAGACACAACACCGACCGAACATTTAGCACCATTCCACAAAAAGCACCCAGATGCCAAGCTCGATATTGCTTGTTACAATGGGCCGAACAATTATGTTGTTGCCGGCAGCACGGCGCACATAGACCTTCTCGAATCGTACCTAAACGAAAGGAAGTCTAACAGCGAGAAGCTGCGTTTCAAGGTCCTTAGGGGCATGCACGCGTACCATTCTTCTATGGCCGACTCGATCGTCGAAAGGAGCGCCAAGTTGTCAGCTTCAATCCCATTCCAGGTCAGTGGTGGAACATACCTCATCGCGCCAATGCATTCCCTCTCCAAACTTGTTCTTTGCCAATTAATCACTGACCCTCTGTTCTCATCCTACATAGACCCCAGTTTTCCCGTTCGAATCCTGCCACAAGCAATCCTGGACTGGGCCAGGCTCTAACGTGATTGCCCGCAATACTCGCGGAACTGTGTACTTCGGGCCAGCAATCTCACGCATCGTCAACCGTCTGGGGCCCTGTACATTTTTGGAAGCCGGCTTCGGAGGTCCAATTATAGCCATGGCACAAAATGCACTGCCGCAACCTCAGACCCAGTCTCAGCATACCTTCGTACCGATCAATGGGAAAAACCCAGTGCAATCCCTTGCCAATGCCATAGTTACACTATGGAAGAATGGCCAGACCAGCGCACAGTTCTGGCTGTTCCACCGGAGTGAACAGTCGAGCTTCGTGCCTGTCGCGCTGCCGCCGTATCAGTTCGAGAAGCACAGTCATTGGCTTGAGTACACCCATCTCACTGGCAACCGAGGTGGGAAGACAAATGAGCAAGAGTTAACACAGTCTGAAATGTGCTCTCACTGCTTGAAGGATATTGATCGCTTCACCTATATATCTCAAGACAAGTCTCAGAGCCAGTGTATGGGCAAGTCTGTTTTCAAGATCGACATGCGTAGCAGACGGTACCAGGACCTCGTCAAAGGCCATGTCGTGGTTGGGTCACCGATATGTCCAGCAGCAATGTACCTGGAGCTAGCTTCGCATGCTGTTGTCTTGCTACATAAAGATCAGAGAGTGGCTAATATCCCAGAAATCGTAGCAGATGCCGTCAAGATCAAGGCACCACTCGGTTTGGACATGCAGCGTTCTGTCAGACTGACCTTGACGGAGAAGAGTCAGGGTATGTGGGATTTCGAACTGTTCTCCACTAAGAATGGCAAGTCAACATCACACGCCACAGGGAGCGTTGCTTTGCGAAACAGCAGCATTAGCAGTATACACGAGGAACAGGATAAAAAGGACAAGTGGGTCCGAATCACCGAACTATTAGAGACAGATACCAATACGGACGCTTTGCGCGGCACAATGGTGTACAAGGTGTTCCGTAAGATGGCCATATACTCAGCGGCCTACCAGGGCCTACGTTACTTGGCTGGGAAGGGCACCGAATGTGCGGGGGACATCACAGTACCCGTGGGTGACTTAAATGCGATAGCCAGGGCGCCGAACAACGGCATCTCGGATCCGACTGTCGTGGACACCTTCTTACAGGTACCTGGTGCATTTATACATTCGCTGCGAGCTACGGATGAGATAGAAGCTGGAAACATATCTTACATCTGCACGGGCATCGATGCTGTAGGGCCGCTGAACGGGCTACGCGCTAGCGGGAAATACAGAGTGTATACAAAGATTGTCCGGGAGGACAATAGAGAGGCTATTCTGGATGTGTTTTCGTTTGACACACAGACGAAGAATATTATTTGGTCCGCCACGGGACTGAAGTTCTCAAAGGCCCCTCGCAGCTCGCTAGCTCAAGTGCTGGCAGGAGCCAATCCTGGCATGGAATCTAACAATCTCGTGGGCGCGTCTAACGCTGCTGCTCAGCCATTTCCCCCCAAGATCCCATACCAGGTGACTTCTGCTGCTCATCGGGAAAAGTTCAGCAAGAACGAGAAAAGATCAGCTAGTGTATTGAGTGAAGTCCAAAAAGTCCTGAGCCAGTCCCTGGACGTCCCAGTCGAAGAGATCACAAATCAGGCCTTGCTCAAAGAGCTTGGTGTGGACTCATTAGTTGGCTCGGAAGTGCTAGCTAATCTCCGTAACAGATTCAACATCCAAATTTCAAGTGAAGATCTGACAACAGCTAAGAAAGTTGTGTGTTTGTGTGAACTGATCTTCTCTAGAGTAGATGGCGACGCCAGCAGCGACGCCAGCAGCGATGTCGACAGTGACGACCAGGATCCCGACCCAATATATAAAACCGTTGATGACGGAACTCCAACATGGCAGAAGACGGTATTCCAGACCCTTGTGCAGTCCCTCGAGATACCAACTACAGACATTCAAATGGATTCGAAACTAGAGGATCTCGGTGCTGATTCTCTTATTGCAGCGGAGATCATCAGCAACCTGAATAATGCCTTATGTCTTGATATCACACCGACCGAATTCTCCTCAATGACTGATGTGGCATCTCTCTGTGAATATATTGCGGCCAATGGTGGTGACCCTTTAGTACAGACTCCTACGACCAGTTTATCCAGCCTTTCCAACACACGTTGTACTTCCAGAGATGATCTCTCTATGGCCTTAGTTACAGCTGCAACCGCCCCAATAGAGAGCAACAAGTCAACATTAGCCAACGGCGTCACAGTGTCGATACATAGGGTTTTCCAACAGATCCGCTGCCGTTTTGATACATATGCGAATGATACCAAGTTCACTGGCTACTGGGATCGGGTATACCCATCGCAGCTGGGGGCTGCCACAGCCTTTATTCTGGAAGCATTTGAGAAGCTCGGCTGTCCTATTAGGGATTTTAACCCAGGGGAGAAGCTCCCGAATCTGCAAGGAACACTACCGAAGTATCGCAGGGAGACCCGCCGGCTATGGCATATCTTAGAAGAGGTTCGACTGGTCGAGAAAGCAGGAGATGACTTCTTACGCGGTCCTGTGCTCCTAGGCGGTGATGCAAGTACCAGTTCTGGCCAGGAGCTAATAACGGAACTTATATCGGACTTCCCCCAGTACGCATCTACGCACGGCCTACTCGGCCTCCTTGGACCACACCTAGCAGAGTGTTTGACAGGCAGGTCAGACCCTGTCCCCCTTCTATTTGGCAGCGATAAGGGTCGCGGCCTCCTCAATGACTTTTACGCCAACGCACCGGATCTTCTGGCCGCTACAAAGCTGCTTTGCGACTTCATGTCCGCGGCCATCCACTCGAAAGCTTCCAACGGCGAGCCCTTCCATGTCCTGGAAGTCGGCGGCGGTACCGGTGGGACCACCAAGCACCTTATCCCAGTGCTCCAAGCCACTGGGCTCCCATTCAAATACACGTTCACCGAGCTCTCAGTTTCATTGCTGGCACGTGCCAAGAAAACCACGTTCAAGGGCATCGCAGGCGTGGAGTTTCGGAAACTCAATATCGAGGATGACCCGCCCGCGGATCTGCTGGGGCGCTACCACATCGTGGTGTCAAGCAACTGCGTACACGCAACGCGCAACCTGCGGCACAGTCTAGTTAACATGCGCAAATTGGTACGACCGGATGACGGATGCGTGGCACTGGTAGAGTTAACGCAAAAGCTGGCCTGGTACGATCTAGTCTGGGGCTTGTTGGACGGTTGGTGGCTGTTTGATGACGGCCGGAAGTACGCACTGCAGAGCCCATGGGCCTGGGAGCGGGCGATGCTAGATGCGGGCTTCGCACATGTTGATTGGTCAGAGAGCGCGAGTCATGAATCTCGAAGTGTTCGAGTAATCTGTGGCATGGTCGCCGAGCCGGAGAGCGCATGCCCAGCAAAGGCAACCTCGATGCTCCTGCATCGCCCAACGTTTGATTCGGGAGACCGCAGCCTGTTTCTGATCCCGGATGGATTTGGCTCTGGTGTTGTGTTCGGTGCCCTTGCGCCGCTGCTCTCTCCAGTGGAACATGTGTCTGTTTACACGCTCAGCAGCCCCTTTCTCAAGTGTAAGCCTGATTCCAGCCAAGTGCCCACTATTGAGGAGCTTGCCGCTATCTACGTGACCGAGATTAAGCGTCGGCAACCCGAGGGCCCTTATATGATCGGCGGGTACTCAGTCGGTGGGGTGTTGGCATTTGAAGCGGCACGACAACTTCTTGAAGATGGCAACGAAGTCAAGAAGATGTTTCTTATTGACACGGCATGCCCCACCTTCGCCAGCTCTATGCCAGATGCACTGGTTGACTTTCTGGATTCCATCAACCGCTTCAGCATGATGGATGAGGACGAAGCCCGAGAGAACAAGCGCGGCTCGCCCCTCGCGAGCGACCATTTCACGCTAGCAAGGCAGCAACTGTTGATGTATCGAGTGAGTAAGCTACCAGGTCAGAAGATACCACAGGTTGTACTGTTCTCGGCGAGAGAGGGGGTGAATAAACAGGATGCGGTGCCTCTACCCGAGGTTCTCCCTGTGGAACAGCGGCTGGTGAACTGGTTCCTGAATGACCGCGCCGACGATGACTTGTTTGGATGGGACAAGGTTGTGGAAAATGTTAGAGTGATTCCGGCCGACGGCAATCACTTTTCAATGATGCGACCTCCTCTGGTAAGTCTAGTAGGCTGTGAACCTTCCTTAACAGTGAAGTCACTGATACATGAAAATAGATAAATGGATGGGGATCCGAGCTCGCCAGGTTACTTCGTGCTTAGGTAGGGGAGGATAAGCTTCACTTGAGCTACCCAAGGACCCCGGTTCGAGTTTATTCCCTAGATCGAAAAGGGCCCTAGAAGAAATGATAGCATCTGATCTTTCTTCCTCCCTTCTTTGTTTTATATGCTTTCTTTTCCATGTGAGGATATGGCGGAAAAGATACGCTTGTACAGGAGGATACAAATTAAATAGCATAAGCTGAGTGAGTTGACGCATTATTACGTTTCAATACAGGAGCGGATGGCAAAAGGTTCCGGAAAATCAGAGTGTCGACTTGAATCGAGGACCCAGAATTCATTCCATTCGAGCAATTGTGTAGGTTATTATTGCTTTGGAGCTCAAAGCAGCGAGCCTCAAGGGTACAGCCTCGGCAGATTTCAAGGCTACTCCTGTTAGATCCGCGCCACTGCTTGATCGTTAGGTTGACAACCTGCTGTATTATTGTATTTCGGTTTATGTTACATAAATAGTACTAATTTGATGCAATCTCATTTCCGAATCCCCTTCATGCATGCTCAAAGTCATCCAATTGATCGATCTATTGCTTGTATATTCCATCACTTACAAATGTAGGTTACTTGTAGGCACGTTAAATGCCCTTGTGTACTGATATATCGGACTGATACAGTTATTATGAGAAGCTTGAGTCGACCATTACATTCTCCTTGCTTTGTTAGGTACAAACGATAGTATCGAACCCCCAAATTCAACTCCGTAGTCTGAAGAAGCCAGCTATCACGCGTGTCTGACCATCCTCTCTCCGCTTTTATTAATTGCAAACGCAGACCCTGGAAGCTATTAGATATGCTAAAACGCTTAGTTCCATATATGACATACTTGTCCTCATTACAGTGTCCGCCGTGAATGTTGCCGTCTTGAACAAGGCACTGAGACAGCATTAAAATCGTAAAAGAAACTAAGCAAGAAAGGAGCCTTTACCGAAGCACTGCAGGCCGCGTCCGCAGCACCGATCTTATCAATGCCACCGACCTGGCAGGAAGTCCTTTTGTCGAGTACTAAAGGACTGGCATTGACTTGCCCAAGAAGAAGAAGGGAAAATGCGACCGTCAGAAGTTTCATTTTGTTCAGGTTGGTAGAAATACAAGCAAACATTGCCAGTCCGATTAGCATTCCGGAGAAGAGGGGCGACATACTTATATACTTCAAATCTTACCTGCCATCTCCCAATAGGAAGGAGGGGTTGGGTTAACCCATCGACCATCAATAGTCGGTGTGACTATTGAATCTGGACCCCCTTGTGTGCATGCGATATCGTTGTGTCTACTCATCACCGGCCCCTGGAGTGATTTGTATCGGGTCTGGGTTTCACAAGTCAAAGAAAGGACAGCTGAACTGTGGAGACCCGGAAAGCGAGGTTAGGAACCTACTTCCAAATTGGATCTGGGGATCGTCGGGGCGTTTTGATCTTCCTGGCGCAATTATTGATTTTGGGCTGTTGGTTGCTTTCGGATACTGAACTTTATTTTGGATATATTGAAATATGCAGTGGAGAAGCCGCGTGGACCGAGTCCGACATTGAGAATCTTACAAAGTGAGAGTGGTCTAGCAAAGGTATATAGGTGTCGAGTCACTCAGACGCGGACTGTCTTTACTACAGTTACCTTGATCGTGTGTCCTACAGACACATGACTAGACCTCGCCAAAACGCGGGTTGGGTTGGGTTTCATGGGTTCTTTGGGTCTGAATGGGTTTTGGGTACCCATTCGTACGGCGACGCGGTCTAACGCGCTCCAGCTCACTTGTCGATTTTCTTCAAACACACCCACTTCTGACTCTCACAATATTCTGACAAGAGCGAGATGAGATCTTCGGAAACATATTGGGTTAGGTCCAGAACCTGGTGATCCTTGCCCTAAGCCACCTGAAGATCTGCGGCTCTGGTACTGCGCCAGAGGTATACCAAAAGCGCGCTAACCCAATATGGTAAAGAAGTATAACGCTTAAATCCTTCGATTGCACTACCCAATCGCTAGAAATAATTTAAAAAATTTGAAAACAACATCATAGCGAATGCCTGTATCCTATATTACAAGGTCAAGCTCCTTCTCCAAAGGATACATAGGTGGGTGGCGCCCGAAGTAGGAGGCATGGAGTTTGTCTTTGCCCTTGGAGGTACAAATAGCTAGTTCTTCCATATCTGCCGTCATCATCACACTTGTATCTCAATCTAGTGTCCCAACTCAAAGCGAGGGGACAGCGTAAATGAAATCATCATGAACATCGGGTCTACATCTATAGAGAAACACCATTAAGTATTGCAGAAATATGGTGGTAACATTAGGAAATCGCCCAACATCCTTAGGCCGCCCTAAGTATCATATTGTAAAGCTACACCGACTTCTCGACTATCTGATTTAAAATCACTCGGTCATATGGGACGATGAAATAACACGACCGAGTGCTGATATGATCGCCTGTGTATTGTTTTATGGATGTAACCTGATCAAAACTCCATCCTTTTAGATACTCGGTCGTTCTCCAACCGCCCCACCATTCAAACACAAAGACATCATGGTTTTTGGATTGAAATACTTGCTTAGGTATGTCGTTTTCGCTGACACCAGAATAGCTTTTTCCAACAAGCGGCTCACTATGGCTTTTGACCACGACCTCCATCTTGCACCATAGCTTGTGCTAAAAACTATTCCCATCATGACATTACTATCGCCTGCTTTATCCACCCAGCTGAACTTCAGTCGACTACGTCCAGGCATCAGATGTGATAGGCTCGACTTGGAAGACATTTGTGGGGCTGCTGAATGGTGGGCGCTTGGTTAAGAAAAGGTGGGTGGAAGATCGGCCCTCAGCCAATTGCCCGTTGCCACAACCCAGATCTCTTCGTATTTGGTGTTGATCATATTGCCTTCCTACTGATCAACTCACTTGATACCCTTCAGTCCCACGATAATCAGCTGAAATCAGAACTCGTTGCGAATCTGTCACTTTGTTTTTTCCTTTGTTAGTCTTGTGACAATATATCTCGGGCCAATAAGTGATCCACATATGCCGCTAAAGTTGGCCATTTTATCGTAGCTCAGGTTTGATTCAGCTGAGTTGAGAGAGCTGAAAGGAAAGCTCGAACCGATTGGTACTCCATCCAGAGATCATCAGGGCTAACCAGAAGATGACGTACTCTGTCAAACGGAAAATAATGTATATATAAAGCACTTGGATGATGAGAAAAGAAATTTTTTTTCCCATACTTTTACAGTTCACACCAGAGACCACAGACATATTGTTCATACCCACTACTACTTCCACAATCCATCAAAATGGCATTTTTGTTTTACGACATTTCCATGCAGATTGGTATACTAGCTTCCACGCAAACGACCCTCAGTTGACTAGTCATCTTCTAACGCTAAATTTATCATGAGTTTGCAGGTATTCAAACAGCCAGAGAAACTATTCGATTTCAAATGTCACATCCGGACCCCAAGATCCGAGTCTTTCACGGCCATTCCCGGGATAACGAAAATTCGATAGCATTCCCAACTGAAAAATCGTTTGCAGGATCGCACGAGTTTTCGCAACTTGTGAATGAGCTGTATAATATTCTTAAAACACTGCCAGCTCAAGATTCAGTGAATCAGCAGGAGGATATATACCAACGAGACACCTCTATTACCTTCAGCAGTGTGACCTCCAGCAACGTTGAGTTTGAATGGGGGACTGGCTCTGGATTACAGGATGGTCAAACTCAAGTGGAACCGACTGCAAACCAGATAGACGACTTTGAGCGGGCTATTAGCATCATTTACGACTTGTATTCCATGGCTAGGAGAGGAGGGTGTTAAAGCAGGATTCCGCACATCCACTGAATTCTTGTTGGAACAGTGAGATCGCTCCGTTCAGGCCACCCTTATTAAACAGCCCTATCCATGGCTACACATTCCCTATATGTATTTAGTGCATTCCAGCCGACATAAATAGGCCGGTCATTCATCAGATGGCACATTAGCTTTCATACATTCATTTATTCATACATACGTGATTATCCACTACGATTTCTCATACATGTACTATAGCGGTGCTGTCAGCAGTGTCATAAGTCTGGTTACTGGAATGATGAATATGATGCGGATGAGATGGAGAGGCTTGCAAAGGGCATTTGAATCTTGTGAAAGTTACCAAGTGTGTCGGTCTATAATACAGTCAAATGTATAGATACAATTGGCCAATAGCAGAACATTTTTTATGTCACGTGCACAGCGCCACCAATCACAAGCAGAGAAAACTCTGATTGGCTGTGTTTTCAGGTATATTTGATGTACTTAAAGCATTACAAGGAACAGTTCAACTAAATAAACATTCATCAGCATATTAAGCCATGATCAGTATAACCAATTAGCTTTCCAGTGAGCCTAATCATCCACTGTATATTGGTCGATCATGAAGTTGCAAGATCCAGATCAACATTGAACATTCTCTCTGCAGTCTGCATCTGAAGACAAATCCCCTTCACGTAGACAGATGAAACTCTCAGAAAAGAGTTTCAAGATCTAACTGGGGAGATCGGGCTCCTGCTTTGAGAAATACCTATCTTCAGATTCATTTTAAATCATCATCCATCTAAACTTAAATTAGAAATATCTCTTAAATACAATAATAGCATATTTTAATCACATACATTTTCCAATTTTCAACAGCTCTGTTATACCTTTCATCAATAGCTGGAGCTCTCTTTTTATAGCATATCTCATTCTCTGTCTTTTTTATATCTTGCTGGTACTCTCTGGTAAAACCACGTAATTTACCATGCATACGGAGCTCATCAATCTTTCTCCGCCTTTCCGCGAATAGCACTGAGTCTCTATCACATGACATGATTGATTTTTGTATAGGATCGCACTTGAAGCTGTTTCTTGAGAACGTGTAACTCAAAGGGATCAAAAAAGTGATGGACAAACAGGCTGAGTGCCCCTATTTAACTTCACAAAAATCCTATCGGGTTGTCTAGCTCACCCACTCGCTCACCCACTCGCTCACCCACACTCACCCTGCAACTTGGCAGCGCTCACCCGTAAAGCAGCAACTTCCAAAGGGCTCATTTCCAAGTCGTCCACGTTCAATATGTGGCTTAAGTACGGCTGAGCGGACGGAAGGCCCTGTTCTCCACACCCTGTGGTCGTATGTGTTAGTTGTCTATTGGAAGAGGCTTATATCGCTCGCTCAATATCTTAAGAGCAGAATCACTCGGCTATACCAATGTGCTTCTTCCTTCTGTTTCCTAGCACTACCTAGGCTCTTAGGTCACGTTGACAAGTTTGCATCCCCCTTGTGCCAAAGAAGGAGCAATATTGGAGCTTGTTCATTCATCTGATGTCTTCTGCTGAACCCTTCTTTTATCGACGTTTACAAGCTGGCGACACCCTCATCCAAACTCTCCTGAGTATGGAAGATGCTGACGTCAGTCTGCATGGCCATCTGCATAGCGTTACGGATATCGAAAGTGGACTTGGGGCCGTCGGCAGTACGAGCGAAGGTCGACATCCTTGATGGACTGAGTACCAGCGGAGTGGCTTAAACTGCATAGTTAACCTAATTTCGTGTTCTAGACTGCGCCTTGCCTTCTGCCCAACCTTGCTTGACTGCGCGGGCAATGTCTACACATCCGTCTCCACAGGACCGCCACCCGCTCTTGGTGTCCACAGCAACCTGTAAGGCTTTTACCTTTTGATAATGTGCCGCTACCTCCTGCTCTGTAAACCTGGATTTATTCACCATGCATATACAAAAGAGTTGAATAAGCATTGGTATCCTGGTAGTAACGGAGCTCATTAGTAACCGTAGCTGCAGAATTTGTTGATCTAGGTTCAAAGAAAGGGTAAATAGCGTGGATAGCGTGACGGCTACTTACAGAACTGCTATAGAGCCACCAAGACAGACCAATGACATATCATATGTTTGGCTACGCGCACTGCGACACCGGTAGTGTCCACCGCTTCTGGTGTAGCATAGAGCGCCATTCCTTTCGTTTTTGAATCCAAGAGTCTTCAATAGTAATGTGATGCTGGTCGCCAGGGCAGCCAGGGTTAGGGTAAGCAGGGCGACAAACTGAACCAGCCATACTGTAGGTGGGCGTGGGTTGGTGGGTGAATGGGAATGCCTCAGCAATGGGAACACTGTAAGTATATGTGCACCAGCCTTGGAAAGCGAATCGATTAAGTTAGCCTTCCGGTCATTCATTCACATGGGGACCACCCATTATGGTTGTAGATATGAATCGCATTGTGATAGACCTACACAGAGCTCGTTGACAATGGCGAAGGGCACGAGGCCGGGGATAGATTTGGAGACCAGAATGGCCGTTGCGCCACCAAGCAAGATGAAGGACAAAAACCAGCGCAGCATCCCCCAGTAGCTAACCAAAATGTAGTAGTCAGATATTGAGTATCTATGACCAGATACACCTCCCGCTTCAGACTCTCCGAGGACGGTTAACGCGATTGTCTCCGGAGCTGCAGTTGCAGACATTCCCCAGCGTGTACTGTCCATGAGGGAATGGTGTTCTTCATTGCCTTCCTTGATGTTCATATTGAGTGACATTATAGGGGATAGGGAGATTGGTTTGTTGTTGCTGTTCTGTCGGTACTCTGATCAAAGAGGCGCAGCAGGGCGTTGGGAGGCGGCACTAGTAGCTGTCACAAGTAATGCCTTCCATAACTCCGGAATCGATACCATCCAACACGTCTTCCTCCCATTAGGTGTTGAGCCTCTTCATCGGCTTTGAACTCCATCAGGTGGGGGGATGCAATTTTACAATAACGGTGTGTTTGTTCGTCTGACGTTCCATCGTATCACCGCTAGAATGTGACAGGCGAGACGGATTGCGCTACCTCAAAGAGGATACGAGACAACCATCTATACAAACCCTCTCAAATTAAGATCAGCATCTGCGGTTCCGCCATCGGGGCTAGTGCCCTGAAAGCCTTAAAGTTGGATTTAACAAGGCAGTCTCCGCTTCCCAAAAATAAACTCCACCGAGAATAGCCATGGGTGTTCTTTCGCTCAACAAACCACAGCACTCACGCCTTTACTTGACGAAGAAAGAAAGGAATATCTCCATAGCCCCTGCGATTAAATGCAACACAGTCGACACTTTTCAATTTAACACCAATGGGGGCGATTCCAAAACAAAGGGGTGATTCCGTTTACGAAGGTTGGAGCCCCTTCGTGTTCGTATATGCGGAGACCGAACCAGCCCTAACCAGTCCGGATACAAGGGGGGTTGCCCTGTAACTCGCGCCTCATTCGACGTAGCCCAAGTGTACCCTGAAAGCTTTGCTTATTCCAAAGAATATCTTGTCTCCTTCGAGAAACTTGATCTTCACCAGGACTAGCCATTTTTGGTGGCAATACGAGCTGTGGTCGTCGTAATTGGCTGGTACCAATTGCTGGAGTCCGATCAGTGGGGCTGGAAAAGTAACGTTGAACACGAATCTTAACTCAATCGACCAGCCATCCACCGCGAGATTTGCAGACGCGTACTGAGATCATCGTCCAGCCAGACAGAACTCATGGCGATCATTCACTCCCATTGCTACGTTGGATGGGCCATAAATAGAGCCGATGAAGGGCTTGACAAAACACTCTGCTCCACATTGTGCGGTGCACCTTCAACAGAATACAAATAAGATCCCTTCTATCAAACCTGAACTCCATTTGTTCTTTCGCCCTTCTTTTCCATTCACAGAATTGCGTCGGATTCAGACAGAAAGATGAAGTACTCTCTATTCCTCGCCATAGCAACATCGGTGGTTGCAGTGATGGCTCGTTGCGACGGCTCCTCACAGCCTGGGTGGGAGCAACATGGCTTCTGCGACAACGGCCAACCATGCCATGAGCGTTGCAAAGATGCGGGTTTCACATGTGGTGGCTGCGGTGGTGTATTTTGGAACCAGTGCTGGTGTTGCAACAACTCTTGTTAGTGACATCGCTGTTCGGCGAGACACGTTGTTGCTGTCTTGGAATGAAACGTAAGTCTGTCTTTTGGAAATATTCGTCGTCTCCATGAGACTAATTACCTCGCCAACAAGATCAAGTGAGCAAACATAGGCGGAGTGAACGTCGGAATCCATCTTCACAGCTCGGATCCGTCTGTGGTGTAGCTCTTCACAAGCCTAGCGGCCCCAGCAACCGTTATAAAGCACTGGAAAGAATAGTGACGAATTAAGAGCTTATAATTCTGTCCTCTCCTGTACTGAAGATTTCTGCTCTAGAAATGAGACCTACTTTAATATGTACAGCTTACCAAACCCAACTGTCAAGGTCCTACGTTAATGTACTCGTCTGAGACAAATGTATAGTTTGGTGCAAGCCTGTCCAAGAATGCCTTCATGATGAACGTAGCTGCTCTGGCACTAACGAATCTGAAGAATATTGCAATCGCAATACCCCCAAAAGATAGCCACAGGACATGTTTTACCATACCTAAAAGAGGTGGAGACGCGTCTAGGAGCTCGAATGTGAGAAATCCCACAAGCCAAGCTGACTATTTGGTCTCCCATTTGTGGAATATTCCTTGCAAAGGCGCCGTGTGTGTCGGACTTGGCTACGAATGTAGGGAATGATCATGCGAAGAATTTGCTTCGGTACTGGATCACCCGAAGTTTATACCAGTTTACCGACTTGCTAGTCGACCATCTGGGGTGCTGCATCCATTAATCCGGCTACCAAACTGGCCATACCACTGTCAGCTCAAAAGGCGTGATTCAGGGCTTTTTCTGCCCCAACACAATTAGAGTCTTCTGCATCTTAACTACATAAATTCGACAAATTATGTGACACTTCCCAGGCTCAACCTACTAGTGCACTCTCTGGTGGGCCGAGATAGCTATCTAACTGCCCATCTAGCGCAAGAATAATCTTCTCCAGATACACCTCTGGCGAATTGACAGCCCACTTGAGTATATGCGGACCCTGTTCAAGGGCGGCAATATCGATATCTCTTGTCCAAACATGGTCCGCCACTGCCTCGGTCCACCCAGAAGCCGTGTCTCCAGCCTCTTCAGGCTCAGCCAGTAGTCTTGTGAAGTTCGCTTCTTGACCATCGATTGATAACGAGAATTTCATCGGTAGGTTTGGATCTGTGTCCAGGGCACCATTGACGTATACAGTCACATTGAATGATTTAGTCGAGTTGAAGAGATAGAAATCGTACTCAACCCACGCAGATCTTGCGCCTTCTTCAGATTCTCGAGCTTGCATGTACGGCCGGAGTGCGATGGATCCAGACCGAGCTCGCGACCCTAGATACGGAATATGTTTGAAAGATACAGTAGCCGATGAGGAGCGTTGGAAATCTGGGCCTTCCATGGACACGAAGCTGCCTGACTCAGGGAACCCGGTGAAGTTGGTCGGGACGCGGTGGTTGCGGATTGGAATGTGGATTAGATCAAAATACGGAGGAGACGGTTCCCATTCTACATGTAGCTGAATTGTCTCGGTTAAGTTGGTTGGGACAGCGGGCCAGTCAATCAAGACTTCGAGGTGTTCCTCGGGTGTTCTTTCGAGAGTATGCCTGATGCCTGGGAGATCTGAACCCATGAATATGGTGTCGAGATAGACCATTTGAGCGGCTTGCGATGGTCGCCACGATGGAAGAGCTCAATGAGCCGTGATTTTGGGCCGTAGGGATCCATAAGTGGGAGTACTGGTGAAAAGCCTTCCTCAGTTAGTAGGGAAGGATTGATAGACCCACAGATCCGACCTTGGCGATAAGCACTCAGGGACAGCTCGACGTAGATACCCAGGCTGCCAAACGCGTAATCAAAGTCCTGTCGTAGCTGCACATACGATAGATTTGCGACGACATCTCGTGATGAGGGACGCCAGTCTGCAATGCCCATATCAAATTTGGGGGTCGACATGCTGCCCTCCCATTTGCCATCTTCAAGGTCGTCATACTCCAATGTCAAATCATAATCTTCCTAAAAGTACTCTAGTACCTCTCCCGCTACCATGTTGGCTGAGTTACGGCGTTCGAAGCTGTACTGGCGATTTTTGCCTTGGCCAAGGATTGTTTGGTAGTAGTTGAATCCCGCCGTCGCGGGATAAGTTAGGAGATGATAGCAAGCATTGTGGCGCTCGCTAGGTAACGACTGCTGAATTTCTCGTGCTTTCGTGGCCAGGTTTCTCCACCGATCGAGCACCTGCTCGGCCTCTCGGAAGTTGAGCATGGAATATGTCGTTGGTTCCAGCATTTCAAATTTGCGCAGACCAGCTAGGTGGCTATATTCCATCAAAGCCGATGCAATCTGGTCGGAGTACTTATCACCAAAATATCGCGTGGCTAGGGCTTTCAGGTATAAGGGAATAGTATCGAAATCAAACCGGGACGTATTCCACGCAAGATCCAGGGCGAATAACAGAGGAATTTCCAGAGGCTTGATGTCGCCAACATTAATGACGCAAACTCTGTCGGCTCCACGCTCGTAGGCTTGTGACAGCTCCTTGTATACTTTGGGCTATAGAGGTTTAGATAATAGTTCCAGGTCACCGGCTCAACTGTCCGCAGCAATTTTGACACCCACGGGATCGCTTGCATCTCGCAATATTGGACCATTGCCAAATTCAATGGAACTTTCAATAGGTTCGAAGGCAACTAGGTTCCCTTCTAACGGTGCCATTACAAGTCCATGTAGGAATAGAATGACTAGGGCGTAGAAACCCTTCATTTTGATGTTCTGACTAGTCCGGTCAGGGTTTCCCGCAGAAATGGCAGCAAGCAAGTCCTAATGGATTCCCGTCGTCTATTTACCCAAGCCAAGTAGAATTCCATGAGAGCAATGATATAGCAACACCCAGCTACATAGGGCTAGGGCAAGATAACCTGGTGCCCCCACGCTTAAGGACCCTAACAACATGGCGAAGACTTGATTCATGGAAGAAGTTATACCGAATCATCTATGCCGCTTAGCTAATACGGAGCTATGGCAAGACCCTACTTTATAGTATATCATTCGTCCGCTTAGCACGAAGTGAACGGTGGTCAGACAATTATCATCTAAGTAATGACACCGCGATGCTTGGTTTAGGGTCAGGTACGGGGGGTTCCAAGATATTTCCCCACACACTAGCTAGAACCCATCAACAGATCTTGCCTGAAGTTAGACTCTTCTCTAACGTCTTTAGTAGATCGGTTGCATGCCGGGTACAGCTTTTCTGCTTGGCAGTCGGCTATTGAGTAAGAACGGATTAAGTCGCCACGATGTTTACCCGAATAACATGAGGTCTGAGATGGATGAACCTTTCGCTCGGGGTAGTGCTCCGCCGATATTGAGGGGTAGAGTTGAACTCTTAATATCTAGGGTCAAGGAGGTTGTATAGTAGGTTTAGATGGCTTGTATGGCGTATAGGATAAAGACTATACATAGGACCCTTTGTCAATTGTAGCACCCAGATTTCCTCGCCACACATCCCTTGTCTCATTTGGTAGCACCGTGAAGCTCCTTATAAACTAAGACATTATGGCCGTTGGAAGATTCGCCTCGACGCTCCTAGCACTTGCTGCTTGTGCTAATGCTAAATGGATTGTTCCTGGCGCACGATGCATGATACCGATGGCAACATTTTCAATGCTCATGCCGGAGGACTTTGCGCTGATCGGGAGACTGGCAAGTTCTACTGGTTCGGGGAGTACAAAGTCGAGGGTCAAGTTGAAGGTGGTGGGGTCTCTGTCTATAGCTCTGACGACCTTGCAACTTGGGAGTCGCACGGGCTCGCTCTCGGTGAGTCCCGAGTTTCCAAAAGATAGATAGACACTTTAACAAGTCATAGAGCCCATTGAGAACCATACCTATATCTCGCCGCATAATCGCATCCAGCGCCCGAAGGTGATATACAGCGAAGAAACCGGTCAATATCATGTAAGGCCCGTCTTCATTGCCCAAACAAAAAAGCTGCTAAGAATCAGATAGATGTGGTGGCACGCCGATGATGACAAGTACTCTTGGCTCCTCCAAGGTCTTGCAACAGCCGACAATATTGCCGGCCCCTATACCTTTGTGGATGCTACCTCTCCCTTGGGTAATTGGTCCCAAGACTTTGGCGCGTTTACGGATTACAAATCTGGTCACTGATACGCTCTCTATTCGAACGGTGATAGCGTTGAGGGCCGTGACGTCTACCTGAGCAGATTCAATAGCAACCTCACAGCCGTTGAGGAGGTTACTTACCGATTTCCCAAGTATGACTTCGAGGCACCTACTATCCTGCAAACAGAAAATAGTTACTATGCGCTTATGAGCCATAAGACTGGATATCGGCCTAATAGTATGTCCTTTCCCATTCTACTGAGAAATGCGGTGAGGCTGTAGGCTGATGCATTGTGCAGATGTGGTGGCATTCCGCGCTGATAAACTCGAGGGCCCCTGGTCCCAGCCATTTTTCGTTTCCCCGGCATATACACGTACATTCAGTACGCAGTCTGGGTTCTCTTGGAGGATTCAGGGGACTAAAAAGACCACGCACTTGTATATGGCCGACCAGGTATGTCTTTCACCTTGATTGGCTGCAACAAACTAGCACTGATCAGACTATACAATCCCGTAGTGGGACATGAACTCGCTCTGGGAGAGTCGCAACGTATGGCTTCCTATTGAGATCGATGATCGTGAAGGTAGCTTGAAGGTCGTCTGGCACGATGTTTACGACATGAACGTGTAAGTGCATGCTCAATGTCTTTTCCAGTCCAAGTATTGATTTCGTATGCGTAGTAAAACGGGTGAATGGAAGCCCATCGAGGGAGAGACATATATCTCCAAACACGCAAAGACCGCGGGAGATGCCTACCTACAAGAGGCGGTAAGCTCACCACAGCATACATATAAACTAACTTGCAAACTCACGGGCTTTGGCTTCAGATATTCGCTAGCGGAAACCGAATCGCTACCGGCATTTACGGTAATGACAGCACAATCACCTTCACTGTGCGAGGCCAAGGCCAAGACCAATGGGTATCGTTCTACCACCAAAGTAAGTTGCTCCCTCCTCTCTTCCCCAAACTAACTCCACACTCACTAACCAACTCCTCAAACATTGACGACATGGGCTTCGGTGATCAGCCCATGGGCCAACCCGATCGCATAAACAGCACCTGGCAACTCCGGCGGATCAGCAGCGTGGTAGTGAATGGTGACACAGAGAACGTACACACGTTATACCAGAAGGATACTCATAAGGGTATTATTCTCTCCACGCCGCTTTTATTGTCATTGAATAAAGGGGAGAATACAATTACGGTTGGCGGGTTGTGGAATGGGTTTGATTTCAAGGGGGCAGATTTGGATCGGGCTGTGGTCTATCCCCCAGAAGGGGCGAAGAAGCGGTGGTTCTGGTAAACTGGAGGGGCGCTATATAGCATCAAACTGTTTGTGAGGCTCTTGACCTACCAGGGATTCTCCCTGTTGCACCTAGGGCTTGCCCTACAGATTTGTGGCGACCTAGCTGTATTGTGTATTGTGTATTGTGTATTGTGTATATTCAGCACTCTATCTCTAAATCGTGTTTAATCTGACCGGATCGACAAGTTCCTTGATACATCAGGCTTGTACATTCTTGTGCCAGGTTTCTTTGAATCGTATTATAACACCTTATGACGTCCAGTCTGCATAAGTTGCGCAAATACGAATGAAAGACAGTACATTCAAGTATTAATAACATTTTGTCTTGGTGTTCAAATTGGCCAACGTCAAGGGAATACTAATTAGCTGAAATCGTCTTAGTTCTGTAAGCATGTGCAATCATGTGTAAGGAAATACAATAGAATAAAACATCATACATGGCGGGTCCACTGTTGGAGTATCAATTGGTTGGCGTCTTGCATAGTCTTCTTACTTCCAGTTGATGAGTGGAACCATCAACCGTTGAATCTGACACTAGGCTTCTAGATAAGTATTGCGTCTCCAAAAGAATTGAGGGTCGTAACACTGAGCGAGGAAGGTAGTCAAGTTGAGCTAGATTAATCTTCAGTGGATATGACCCCCTGACTGGTTGTTGTATGGGAACCCCGGGTCAAATATCCTGTCAGGGCATCTTCAAGCTTTGATGATCTTCATTCTAGCACCGATGATCTTCATTTCAGCTCCGATGGCCTTAATCGCTAACTTGATTGGAAGACTACGAAGACCGATAAACGCTAAGCAACCAAAGTACCGGTTGCCTAGGGTTTACTTGGGTTGTGATTTTAGCAATTAAGAAGAGTGACTAAATTACGCTTGAATAGAGGTGCCTACTCAAAAGATTCTGTTGACCTGAGAATACCTTACAAATTATTCGCCCATGGTGTGCGGACGAATGGGATGATTTGTCGTTCCACAGATTCTTTGATGGATCTGCAGTGTAATTAAATGTAGCCTCGTGTTTCCACTTTTGGTTCAATATACGGATTAATTTTAAAGCTCAGGCTTCCGGGCACAACTAGTGCCATGACTATCAGACTCCACCTAAACCCTTACCAACCTTTGATTAGTTCAGTTGGTTGATCGACATTCTAAAATGAAAGAGTAAACGATAAATCATACAAAAGCCCCCACAGCTATTAAACTTAAAAGGTATATAATTCAACACAAAAAGGGGTCCAGCCCGTACAAAACATCCAGCAAACTCCTCATCGCAAGATATTCTCCGACATCTTAAGGGTTTATTCAACTTCAAGGAACCTTGGTAACGCATTGGTTAAAGCCTTATGCCCATAGCCCCTTCTGCCTACATTCAATAAGCTTATTCTTTTTGAACTGAACAACCTGATCGCCAAAATGAAGTCCCCAGTCAGCTTTGTTGCGATTATGCTATTGTGTTTTTCTGGGGCTCGAGCTTCATTCACCGATGCAGACAAGGTATGTTTGACATGCAAATCATAACAAAACTGTGGGATATATTCCTAATATAGATAGCAACGGGCTGTTTCCCTTCATAACAACCGTAAGTGCGAAACTACATTATGTTTAATGATATTCTCCATTAACTGTGGATACTCAAGACCGATCTTCCGTGACGCCAAGCGCTAGTAACATGAAGCCCATCGAGTGGGATGAAGGTCTCGCCACAGCTGCCCAGCAATTGGCCGATAGCTGCAAATTCGAGCATAATCGTGCCGGACAAAATCTATATGAGGGCAGTGATCCAGCGGATCTTGTGAAACAGGCAATAGATGCGTGGCATAATGAACATAAAGACTATAATTACGATAGCAATACATGCGGGCCCAATGCGATCTGTGGGCATTACACTCAAGTAAGTGATATCCACCATAAGATTCACTGTATGGCATTGGAAGTAGCTTATGAATCTTTTACAACTAGGTTGTTTGGGCGGACTCTTCCAAAGTCGGTATGGCTGTATCCTCGAGGAAGTGTGAAAGTGGCATGTATATTGTAGTTGCCAACTATGACCCTGTTGGCAACTATGCTGGGGAAAAACCTTACAAGCAGCAGTGATCAACCTTCACAGTGTGTTGATGGATGGAATCAAGGCAAGGATGATCGAGGTCATAATGCACGGCGAGAAATAGGGGCTTTCTTGGACAAGCCCAGATCATCGTGGGAGGGACGGCTTTTGTATCTATTACATTTGCGTTCTTGAAGCATAATCGGGGATCCAACACCCTCTGGTTGAAGCAGGGAGGGAGCTTCTCACAAACGATGAACCCTAACACATCAAACTTGATGTGATAACCTGCTATGTTGGATTAGAAATAACTCTATCTCATATGCATGCATTATCTCCGGTCAAACCGTCCAACATACGTCGGGCTGGCTGCAACCCGACTTAGCGATAATCAGCTGAGAAGGTACAAAGGCAGCTACTCAGTAGTCGTGTTTTAAGTATCCACTATCTTAAAAGATTAGGAGTAGCTCGTAGGAGCAAAAAAGAACATTCGGTCAGCCAGTGAGTCATACGAAGGATACCTTCGCACAGGCAAAGGCAAGAGGACATTGGAAAGGCATCGATCCTGAAAGCAATGACTGACCAACTTCTATCATACAGTTCCGATAGTACAAGCATATGTTAGCCCAGGTCTATCGGGTCTCGATGTAAGCATAGCAGACGTATATATCGAATTCTTTGATTTTCGCTCCCGTGGAGCCGTCTGACTTCTAGACGTCCAGGCTCCTTGTGTGCATAACGTACCCGGTCACCTGTCGAGAGCTCAATGTCTTAGCAATCAGTCGGTACAATGAATAAGCTGATCAAGCAAAGAAAAAACAACGTCTGCTAGATAACCACCTCCGTTGTGGACACGAGAAACCGATGAATCCAAAGCTAACTTACTAATTTAGACAATGCGCTAGTAGTCAACATTCATGCTGTACAGTACACGAGGACAAAATAGTAGTAATTCAAAGACTAATGTTATACTTCCTACGTTTATATACAATGCTACTTGATAGCGAATCTATGTGACGGGGTTTGAATTTCCCTTCTCTGGCTAGACTTATCGGTTCAGACGCATGACTCAATACACTTCATATAATTGGTGGCATTTCTCGTTCGATAAGTGATAAGTGAAGATCAACAGCCATGGAAATCAATTTCCGGCATCAGGATATAAACTCCAAGCTCCCCGCCAACAGACACCAGACTCTCCCATCACCGACCAAATCTCGGTTTCCACCACCAGTCACCAACCATGACAGAACCACCTTCCATCCGCTGGGGAATTATCAGTAAGCCTCCCACATTCTACCTCACAAAAACACCAGGCTAACAAAACCTTCCAGCCACGGGCCTCATCTCATCCTGGTTCGTCGAAGACCTAGTGCTAGCCCGGGAAAACCCCAAAGTCAAGCATATCGTACAAGCCATCGGGTCCTCGGCGCTCGAAAAAGGCCAACGCTTCGCAGCCAAGCACTGCCCGCAAAGCACACCGACCATCTACGCGTCGTACGAAGAGGTGTACAATGACCCTGCCGTAGACGTTGTGTACATCGGGACGCCGCACTCATTCCACAAAAAGAACTGCCTGGACGCCATCCGCGCGGGCAAGCCCATCCTCTGCGAGAAGGCCTTCACGCTGAACGCCGCCGAAGCGCGGGAAGTGTTCGCCGCCGCTGCAGAGAAGAATGTATACGTGCACGAGGCCATGTGGCTGCGCCACCGCCCGCTGGTGCACGAGCTGCGTAGACTGCTGCATGAGGAGAAGGTGGTCGGGGACATCTTCCGGACCGTGGTCGACTTCGCCCTCGATGTCGATATCCCCGCGCTGCCCCCGACGTCGCGGTACAGGGATCCGGCGCTGGGCGCGGGCTCGCTCCTGGATTTGGGTGTTTATTCCCTCACGTGGGCTATCCTGACCCTCGATCCGGGGTCGCCGGGGAAGTCGGAGCTGCCGCATGTTTTGGCGACCCAGACGCATCGCCATGGCGTTGAGGTTACGACTGCTGTGCTGTTGAGGTATCTCTCGTCGGGGAGACAGGGTATTGTTAGCTCGACCACGATGATGCCCGGGGACCCGGTTCATATTGCCCGGATTCAGGGGTCGAAGGGGTATGTTGATGTTGAGGGGCCGGCGGCTTCTATGCCTCTTTCGTTTACGGTTTATGAGAAGGGTGCGGTGGGGGAAGGCAAGAAGTATGAGTTTCCGCGGATTGGACGTGGGTATATCTACGAGGCGGATAATACTGCTTTGGATGTACTAGCAGGCAGGAAACAGAATGAGTACATGCCGTGGTCAGAGACTCTCCGTGTTATGGAAATTATGGATGAGATTCGTCGACAGGGAGGTACGAGATATCCTGTCGATGTATGATGGTGGAACTCCTTGGACTGGTGAAAATCTTCTCTCTAGGTCTGGACGCATGGGGAAACTAACAGTTATGAATTATGAGTGTCTGCGGAGTCAGATAGTTAAAGTGTGTTATTAAAAGTACAGACTAGAACAAACGGTGCTTCGGTTCTGATATCCATGATGTAACAAACTATTATCCATAAAAACATACACACCACTATGTTACACTCCACCCCATTGATGCACGTACTTCTTATGTAAGAATGTAAACACTCGAGCCAATTATGTACGAGCGCCTCTTCCTCCTTCTTCCACTTCTATCCGATGATGCAGATCTAGGATGGCCCGACTTTAGGAGGGTTTGGGAAAGGACTCGATTAATCCCGGCGTATTCATGCTTCCGGTCTTGAAGAGGGATCGCCTGCAGGACACATCGTGCATTCATGCCGGGAGGTCTCTTGTTATCCTTGCACCATTGGCATTGCTCTCCTTTAATGCGCTTGTCCGGGTCTGCTTTGGCGTTGAGAAGCTCTTGGACCTTCTTTAGGCTCTGTGATTTGGCCGCAAAATGAAGCGGCGGCAAACCATTTGTCGCATGGGGACGATCCTTGTCTGCTCCACAGTGTATTAACATAGCCAGCAACCCATCTTGCCAGTGGTCTATGGCTTGATGGAGTGGTGTATTCCCTTCGCGGTCAAGAATATTCTTGTCTGTTTCTGGGAATTCGCAGAGCTTGTCCGCGGATTTCCTGTGTCCCCCCTTGATAGCCTCGTGCAAGGGGGGTTCGAAACCTGAGTCGGCAGCTGGATTTTCGTTGGCGAGATTTGGATCGTGCTTGCAAAACACTTCGATGAGTTGTACTCTACCGTGTCTTGCTGCCTGGGATAATGCAGGAAACCCATATGTGCTTGTGAGCAACTGTCCCTTTTCATGTGAACGTAAGAACTCCTGGATGAGACGGATCGCTGTCTTCTCGTCGGACTTGGGCAGTTCCATAACATGTTCAAGCGGCACCTTACCATCCCTGTCCTTGCAGTTAGCTGTTGCCTTCTGCGATAGTAAAAAGTGCACAATCTCAACGTTCAGGGACTTTACGGCGTAGTGAAGGGGCGTTTCTTTGTTCCCGCCTTTAGCATCCACGGAAGACATCTCTTCCGCTAGGAGCTGTACAAGGTCTTTATTGGACAGGTCAATGGCATAGTGGATTGGAGTCTTTCCGTACTGGTCTCTCTTACATGGAGACGCATTCGCGTTGAGCAGCAGTTGCACGATTTCCTGGCACCCCGCTTCCACAGCGAGATGCAAAGGAGTCTTCTCATGTATGTCTCGCCACTCAACCATCGCTCCTTCACTGAGAAACAGCGTAACTAACTCGTATTTCTTCGCTTTTACTGCACAATGCAATGGCGTCTCCTTATTACGGTTTCCTGTCAGGATGTGGCACTTCATCGGCCCCACGAGTTGTCTGCATACGTCAACAAGGCCCTGTGTGGCGGCAATATGCAACTCCGTATTACCATTCACGTCTACAGCCCCAGGGTGAGGCTGCAACCCAAGCACTTGTTCGATGATCTCTTTACGGCCGTCGCGCAAGGCAACGTGCAATAAGGATTCCCCTGCGTCATTCTGGGTCCTGACATTCGCACCTCTCTCGACGAGCACTCGAATAGCATCCATGCGGCCGGATTTCACCGCCCTCATTAACGGTGTATATCCTAGATAGTGAGGAGACGTACTTCTGGCTTCCATGTTTGCTTTTCTGTCCAGGAGAAGGCCGATGGTAGAGACACGGCCAGTGCCAGCCGCAGACAACAGCGCGGTGCTGCCGTACGCACTTAGCTTATCAATCTCCGCTCCTCGCTCTAAGAGGGTTTCCACGACCCTGTCGTGTCCACGCTTGGCTGCCAGACACAACGGCAGATTGCCGTCACACTGTTCATTCACATCCGCCCCTAGATCAAGAAAAATGTTGACGCCGTGGACGGAGTCCGACTTTATTGCGCCCATGAGGTGGCTGGATCGCTGCTTTTCCGAAGCTTTACCGTCGGATAGCAAGACCGTTTTCAGGGTTTCGTAGAACTTCTCACGCTCCCTCTCCTGGCCTTGCTGGATAGCAGCTTGACGTTGTTGCTCCTTGAATAGGAGACTGGGAGCTTGGAGAGGAGGACCAGGGATGGCGGGAAGCTCGTCGTAGATATCCCCATCAGCGATACTGCTTGGCGGGGTAGCATAGGGGGATGGCGGATACTCCTGCTGTACGTCTAGATAGCCTGGTGTGTCAGGGGAAACATCCCAGGGCCGCCCTTCATACCGAATCTGGGCCTCCAGTTCCTGTAGTACGTCATTATTTTGGCAGTTGAATAGTCGTTGGAGGGAAGAAGCATCGCAAATGGCGTCGGGCCTATGTCATAGAGCTGGGTCAGCCATGAAGTAGCACCAGTCACGCATCCGATAAGCACTTACGAATCCAGGTCCGACGTGCTGGTCAACCCTTGAAGGTTCATGGTGTATTGTTGTAGCGTCTCAATGAGTCGGGTCCACGAGTCACACACATACTCTCTGCCGTGGCTGGAGAATCGGTACAATCGCAACCGCCGCTCAAACAAGTCGAGCGCCCAGGTTGACCCAAGGAGTACAGAGGTAAAGAGGGGAATCGGCAGCGTAATCGGCTCCAGGATGTACCGAAGTGAACGTTGTATTTCGAAATTTAAGTTTATCAGTACCGCGAGAGCTTGATCCTGCGATGTGCTTAAATCTTCCTCGAACTGTATCTCGGAAGCTAGTCTAATGACCCTGATACAACTGTCCAGCAGCGGCCAAATACACAGGAGAAGCCTGTCCTTCGATGAGGAAGACATGATGACAAAAGGACCGGTCGGAGGTGAGGCTTTCTAAACTATAGCATGGAGAAGGTCAATGCAGATCAAGGGATCAGTAGCTCCCCCGCTATGAAGAATTTAGTCTCACCCAGTGGGGTTGGCTCCATATATGCTTTGAATCTATTCTCGTCACCACCACTTCATTAATTTGCATTCCGCTCACTATTATCATTGCCTAAGCGAAACTGAGCCTCGTTTTGAAGAGAGGTGTGGTTGGCACTCACTATTATCATTGCCTAAGCGAAACTGAACCTCGTTTTGAAGAGAGGTGTGGTTGTCGTTGATACGTTGCCCTGCTGCCCTGGGCTACGTCAGGCTGGGTCTGCCCAATGGGATCGTGGTGTTGACTCCAGTAAGCCTGGCCTTATTCGCTCGGCGTTAGATCTGATGCAAGATGAAAAAGGAAGGTCCCTGTATCTTGGGCTAGAAAGAAGACAAGAAGAAGTGGTGACTGTTGTGTCTAGATGCCCCACTATCTCGAGGGGAAACACTGAACGTGTAGAAGAGGGGGAGACTGGGCGTTCGGGACCTCTTCCACTCTAACATCCGTCAAAAGCTAGTACTGGCGAAATCTCTGAAGTCATCCGCAGTGAGGATGACATCCGTCTCTGTAGGACCACGACCTCGGTCATACAGGGCCTCGAACGGAATAATCATAGGTGCTCCAGTCACTGAATCTGGAGTAATCAGCACTTCCTGGGCGGAGTAGGGACGTTGAGTGTGGACTGGTTGGGCTGCCCCGGAAACATTAGGTACCTGCGGACATGATTGGTTTGAATAGCGCCTTGTCAGGGGCGTGGGCGCATTAGTAGTAGAGGTATGTGGCACCAGTTGCCACTGTTCAAATCTCATGAAATCCTTATGCACGATTATAACGATCGCGATGCGCACTCTCCCGCTGGAGTTCTCGAACCACCAACGAACGTCCTCTTGGAGCTTTCTATATGACTCACGTGCGCCCGTCTCGATAACTAGTGTTGGCCAGTCCACGATACCACGAAACGGCCGTCGATTAAACGGAGTAAAGATTTCATTTGCTTCCTTGCCTGTATTACAAGTGGGGCTGTAGGTGGTGCCCCCACCCCATGTTCTATCGTTTCTTCTGACACCCATAGCCGCCAGTTGATCGTTAATAGCCATAGCAAAATCTTGCGTAGGGCACTCATGAGAGTATCCTGGTATAATTTTGATTATGCCGACGGTGCCCTCCCACTGGAAGCGATACGCGATACCCCGTAAACCATTCTCGTGACTCGCCAGCTTTTCGATGGCCTTCTTAGTCAAGCCCAGTACAACAAGCCATTGATTGCCGGTCCCTTCATTTGCGGTCAGGTTTTCTTGAATTGCCTCGGCTTCCACTTGTAGCCGCTCCATTCGGGACCAGGTCCAGACAACATGGCCAGCTGGAAGGCCAACTAGTTATCCGAAGGTGGCAGCACCAGGTGTTGGCTCGTCAGAAGAATTGGTAGCCATCGTGTTGCTGACAGACAGACACGATAGGGATGAATTTAGAGAAGCCTGTCAGAGGGCAGTGCACAGGGGAGGAGATGTGGTGAAGGAAGAAGTGGAATTCATCAGTGTAAATGAAAGACATACAGTAGGGAAGGAGAGAAATAGATGGTTAATAAGACTCACTCGACATAATATTCAATAGTGATGGTTAGAACCTGCTGGCATTACTTCATGATCACTATATGATGATGATAACTATAAAGATAAAGCACTAACCCCATGCGGGGTAACCGGCGAAGCTTACCCGATGGAGAGATCATATCGGCGATTGAACTCCAGAACAGTCCCTACAAGCTTCCCTCATAAACAGAGCCCAATTTCACATCGTCAGTAGGATGCCGCCGAGACAGATTCCCTGGTGAGTCTCTATTGTATTTTGCATAATGTGCCTGGTCAATTGCTGAGATATACGCATTGTGTAGTGAGAACTGCCGAAGTATGTGATTCCACGTCCGCTTGTTCTAACTTCTAACATTCCCTAATTTGTCGGACAGAGCATCATGTCAAATGTTAGTCTACCCAGTTACTTCCAGTTCTATGGGAGAAAGTAAGGCAGAACGCTAAGCGTATATAATTAGGCAACTATGGCAACCCTAAGTGTGCGCGGTGTGCAAAATCCGGCATAGAATGCATTCGGAGAGCATCTAGGAAGTTTCGACACACCATCTCGGCTTCACCAACAGGTTTGCAATGATATGAATACATCTATTCAATAACTGACTTTAACAAGGGTACCGTACATTGCAGTACATTGATGAAACACCCAATTTCATCGAAACCTCTCCAGCAGAGACGTCTTTCCAATCTCCTAACGCTCTAAACAGCAGCGTCCATGCACAGTCCCTCTCCCCGCCAAACTCTGGAGACAGCCCGTCCACGCCATTTGGAGTACTCTCTACGCGTATTCTGGATCCTCCCCATCTTCCTTGGCCGCAAACTGGTCCTAAGGAAGCATGTCTACTGCGGTACTTTGTCGAGTACCTGGCCAGATGGGTGCGTGCCATGACTTCTGTCCACGCCCACTAGCTAAATATCTCTCGAACTGAAACTGTATATCTCAGTTTGACCTCTGTGACCCGGAGCGCCATTTCGTCAAGGCCATTCCTCAGATCGCCCGAGGAAGCGAGCCACTGCGGAACGCCATTCTGGCCGTATCAGCAAGACACTTCAGCACTTTACCAAAAGAGAAACAGGACAAGATCATCGAAGAGTACGGACTACGGCAAGATCCCGCAATCAACGAAGAGACAGTACTCTATTACCACAACAAATGCATCACGGATCTGAGATCCTTGGCCAGCGAACCAGAAGCCCTCATGGACGAGGTCCTCCTAGCAACAGTAGTGATCCTCCGATCTACGAAGAACTAGACAGTACACACCCACCTCATCCACCATCACCATCACCCATACATCCCCCAAACTAACCCCTAGCAGGCCCTTTCATTGACCTCCCAACCGAAACAGCAATCCAAGGCCTCCACGTCTTCGTCGAAGCCCAGGCCAAACTAGCCCTCTCCACGCCGGGCCTCCGTCAAGCCGTCTTCTGGGTCGGCTTCCGACAAGAATTCCACGTAGCCTTCTCCCAACAACGACCCATCCGTCTTCCGCTCTCCATAACAACCCCCTACCTCCTCTGGACCCCGGCCGCAGACCACATCTGGACGAACCGCCTCCTCATCATCTGCGCCTACGCCCTGCAGTACTGCTACGACGACCAACCCGCCCCTCCAGAGCGATACTACAAGCTCATCGACCTCCACAACCGCTGGCTCCAATGCCGTCCGCCTTCCTTCTCGCCCGTCTACTACCAGAAACCAGACCCCGGACTGGGCGAGCTCTTCCCCCGAATCTGGTACCTAGATGATTGCCACATCGTCGCGTCCCAGAGTATGGGTCTACTCAATATCCTCTTGACGGCTTACTCGCCGCATATACCGCGTGTCGGGCCGATCTGTCGCGAGTCTATGGATGTCATGAACGCCAAGTTACGATCGACTGTCTTTGAGATCTGTGGCATTGCGTTGTCGAATCGGCAGTCGCCGCCTGCGTTTACGACTGTTTGTATTGCTATTAATATCTGCGGGGACCGGTTTACGGATTTGAAGGAGCAGCAGGCATTGATGGAGGTTCTTGTTAGTACGACCAGGGAGACGAACTATTGGCCGACGACGGTGTCGCAGATGAGGTTGAAGGAGGTGTGGGGGTGGGATGCTTGAGTGATGTAGTAATCAGTTCCAACGTTATGCAAATCGTCCTTGACCTGCTATATGATATTTATGCATTGCGTTTCTCGGATGCTTGATGCGGGGGGAAGGGAGATAGCAGCATGGGGGTGACATATTCACACATTCTCCGGCGAGGAATAGTATATACCTCCCTAGCTAATTGAGAAGTATGCTATGAAGAACTTGAGGCGTCTGTCTCTTATCCTGCTCTCTGAATCGACTTTCGGATACTACCTTCACGCATACATTCATACTCTGGTCCGAGGAAGGCAGTGTCAGGTGTAGCTATTCGGCATTGATGCTATCTTAAAGGTTTATATAGGGGTCCAACAGCAACTACGAACCTTTGTAGATCTTCAACGTTGGCTTCTCGGCAGCAATATAGCCATCTTTCAGAATAATATAACAATCCAAATTACACCAGACAGACGGACTTGGAAGTTTTGAACAGCGTGAACATGGAAGCATACACTGCGTGGGGACAGTGAGGTTATTTCCATAGAGATCTACACTTTATCAAGTATCGATGTTTGCCCATTGTCTGCACAGCATACATGGAGCAGGCCACGTATGGACACCACCATATCGATAGAATGACATCGCAAGGCCATGGTAATATGGAATCTACATCGACAACCAAAACACGGATATGTAGTCCGAGGAAATATATCCCAAATGAGGCATCATTCGGAACAAAGTGCCGCCAACTCCAACAGCTTCACCCAAAGGGGTAACAACAATCTGATAGGTACCTGGTACCTTCTACTACCTGGGAGGTTGGCCTGCATGTCGGCTACGCGAGAAGTCTAAGTAGACCCTCTCAAAAGAATCAAGGTTAGCTCGGCTCGCCTATGTTTATTATCATTGACTTGGTGCATGCTGTATGTCTCCTCGCTAAGGATGTAGATAACCTGTCGGCTTCGACGGCTTCTTAGTTCCGGCACCTCCAAGCCAATCAACAGCAATATCATTATTTTGCAAGCGAAACTTCCAAAATGTTCAGATGCATGTACAACCTACCCGTTACACCCGGCAGGTGAGGTCAGATGATGACGATATGGTTTCGAGGTCGATATGCAGCCAGTGGTTATCCCTAATAGGAAAGGAAACCCTAAAAAAGGCTAAAAGAGAAGCCAAGCAAGGACCAGGTAGTGAAACCGAGGGGATATAAATGGCCACTGCCAAGGGAGAATATCCAGCCGAGGTCCGTCGATTGAGATAGGTCTCTGTGGCCTGCAGTAGCATCATCAAATATCAAAGTTTGTCCAACCACCGCTTAGCCCGAATTAGAGTGTTCAAAACACAGAGCCAGCGATCCTTGGAAGACACAGCTTCACACATGGATCCATTCATCACACAGTATCTGTAGCAGGGAGAACGAACGAATGGGAGTAAAATCGCCATGAGTCATCGACGTAGTGTCCCGAAAGCCTCGAGTGGTCGAAGGGATCGCTCGGCCGGACTCAACTCAATGCCTAACTCCGGAGCAAATGTCCGTCCTCAGTATATGGTCGGCTGTGGCGTGCCGGTGGATCGCTACTCGTTCTCCGTAACCGGGAAACCGTCCTAATTACTATTCTCAGGGATCTGCCAGGGCTGAGAAAGGTTCCGCGCGGTGGGTCTCCCTGGACCTAAGGTTCTCGTCGGCTCTTATTTTTGAGGACCAGTAAATCTTCGTTGCTCCGTCCTGCCATGAGGCCATACATGGCCTGATATGATGATGCACATCTGGCCAGCGTTCTAGCCAGCGGTCAAGATTTTTTTTAAGCATGGCCATATATCATGAAGTAACTTCCGCCGACGCGAGCAGATAGGATTGGCTCGATACTCTATCCAGAACGGTATGTAGTTCAGTTTACACAAGCCTTATAGGTATAAGTGTCATGCATTAGCTTATAGACTAAAGTAAGGCCAGGAAAAAATTTTTTCTCATTATCGGACATAAAATAGTCTAGTTCAGAATATGACACGGACACCTCGGCTGAAAAACTCTGGCATCCATGGATCGGACCCAGTAATTAGGGTGTATCCACTACTAATCCACTGGAACGAGCTTCGCCGACTCAACACCGACTCTCCGACTTTCGCAACCCACGGGACCGCCGTCTGTGGCTTGTGATCGGAAGTTATGAATCTGCACTATGCGATAGATTATGTAATTATGCCAGCATTAGTGAACAAACACATGTTGACCCTCATGTGGAGAGGGACAGCGGGGAGATCGGAAGTTCCAGGTCATTGTTGACCTCACGCATGACAGCATGCCCCGATCGGTCTCATGTCCAGACTACCAGCAGTGGACATATGAAGTAATCGAGTACAATTGGGAATGCTCATTTGTGAGAACCTTCAGGGATGGCCAGGTCGTGACGTCACGACATCATCTCGCTGATAAGGATGGCGATAAACTCTTTGCTGGGAAGAGGTACAGAGCGCAGGAGCAATGACTTGACCCTATGTCATCGAGGGGCAATGGATTGTGGCCAAATCTCATATCTGGATACTTTGGCAGAGGAGAACTCTGGAGACGTGGTGGGTTGCCATTGGCATGTCCCCCGTTGTAGATTCTGCGGCACGGCCGTCCGTACTGGTCCGACCAGCTTAGGATATACGAGAGAGCTTGAGTGAAACATGGGGTACATTTCAACCACTGACAACTCGATATAAGCGACATTGATAATCTGGCGTGGGCAGTGCGATAACCATAATTTGAGTAGTGTGTAGGCAGAACAATACCTTCCGTATCCGTACGCGTATCAAATCAAGGCCAAATGGCAGACCCAGTTCTAGGGCTGTGTTGATGCCACGGGTCCACAGGGGACAGCCACAATGGCCATGTCTCAACACATGGCTAAATCAGACCCAAGATCCCTCGTGGTTGAGTTACTGAAAGGAGAAGGTCACTTTCCGAATCTGTGAGAATCGTATTCGTTCTGCTCGGGGTCTACGAAAGTTTCCAGACAACTAGCCTCCCGACAATGGGCGTTGCCCGTCCACAAACCACAGCCTTCAGTCCATGGGGATTACCTTCCTGGCCAGATTGTAGTTCCACGCCAAGAGGGAATCAGAGTCGCCTCAGAAGTAAGGGGTCGCGTCGTTGCGTACGTGTTAGGCAGAGATCCTAGAGATCTCTGGGGGAGCCGCATACGCAGTGCCGAGACTTTTTCTACGATAGGTATATGTATACCAAACAAGTGGTCGGCAGATTATTGGCAGCAAGGGAGGAAATACGGTAGCCTTTCAGTGCGGCCGCAGATGGGCTTACGTGGGCGGCTGGGCATAAACGGACCGGCGTGGTTGACCCTCGTTACAGGTTCATGAATCTCAGAGAAGACTTGGGCCCTGCGTACATTACTCGGGGTTCGCCCATTTATGCTATATCTGCAGGATAAGCAGTTGAGGCCCCCAAAGTGGAATGGCGGCATCCAAGCCCTGAAGCGTCGGAATTCGCTGACTCCGAGGTCATTCCAACGTCAGAACTGGCATGTATCCTGGTCGATGTAGGGCTTCGATCGCCCCTCACGAGTACCTTACAGAGTCCTTTGTCTTCTATCATATTAATTCTCCTCCACATTTCGATGATGCCATCGCTTGTCATGAAAAATGACCCGAGATCAGTAAACAGCCGCATTGTTTGAAGCATTGAAAGCTTAATTGGATTTGAAATCCATCAGAAATTTAACTTCGTATTTGGAAGAAAGTAAGTAATCATCACTAATACCGGCTGGAACGAGAGCCGACCGGAGGAGTGGATATATCAAAGTCGATGAATAATGAGGCAGGATGGATCCAATTTGATGCCTGGAAAGTTCCATTCAGCCTGTAAAATTTGGACTCGGAGGTAGCGGGCGGAAATATTGGTCATCCGAAGTCCTTCACTGCTGGTCGTTGGGTCCCCGTGACTCATTATGATCCAACGTGATTGGGTTGCAGTGGGGCGGTGAGTGAAGGGACTGCCTTATGGGTCCAGGCTGGCAACAATTCCGTGGATCTGCTGGGTCGGATGGGGTTTATGCTCTTCTCCGTTCCGATCGGCGGTCGGGCTTTACACGGTTCACGGAACTTGATTAGCAAAGAAAAAATGAAAAAAGAAAAATTATACCACATGAAGAGCTCGGTATAATCAAAAATTGTCAGCGTAATAAAATAAAATAAAAAAGCAATGAAAAAAAAAAAGCTAAAAATCACAGCCAACAGTGGATATATCAAGTCCTTATCCCTCCCCAGCCAGAGTTTGAAACTATTGTTCTATATTCTTCATCGATATTGCATCCCCCTACCGCGACTTTTTTACACACCGATAGTTGATTATCTCTATCGCATCTATCAGCCACACATACATCTAGAAGATCCGACTATTGCTGCAGTGGTTGAACAGACAACCAGTGGAGACGACGCACCATTTCTTGACCAGCCTGAGAACACGACACGACATCAATTTCCAACTATTGAAGCGTCCGTCGTGCAGCTTTGGAGTACTTTTGTCGCGGTCCCAGATTATTGGACCTGAAAGAATTGATACCTTGCCTCCTCAACTTCGTACTAGGGCTACGAAGGTACCCGATAAGGGATCCATTTTAGTTGATCTGCGCCTTGTTGCCGTCTGACTCACCGCCCCCTATCCACAACGCTCATTGGCCGATCTGCCCTCGCCGGAAACAGTAGGTCTGCCTGAGTCACAGTGGGAACGGACGAGTCATCATCCAGTCTGGGCATTCGAAACTTGAGCTCATAAGCACATCAACATCCCGAGATTGCGCCATGGGGTCCTCTTTCTCCCCCACAACTTTCTCAACCACCACTACTACTACTTCTACTCCCTCTCCCCTCTCCTCCTCCTATCACACATCCTCCCCCAGCGCCTACTTCACTTCCCTCGCCCGGAAGCGTCAACAAAAGAAAATGAGTATCACTCAAACATACTACCTCGCCCACGCCGCCCGCAAGAAGCTCACCCGTGAAGCTTCTCGGGCGGACCATGACTTGCGCCTCTTGGTTGGTCATGCCAACCTCCTCGATACCTTGATGCTTGAACTTGCCGATGCCGAACAAGAACAAGAACGCTGGTTCAACCAGACCGTCCACGGCGTGACCAAGGGCTCCCCATCTGAATCCCGCCACATCCAATGGGCCGAAAGCGTCGTGGAGGATCCCGAAGAGGACTGGGATCCAGAGGATGCTTCCGACTCCGACCTGAGTGATGATTCTGACTTGGAGGAAGACGAGTATGAGCCTGCCTACACACCTGTTCGCCGGCGCGCCCCATCGCCGGTGGCCATTGTTCGGGAGAAAGAAATCGAGGAGGACTACGACTCCGACTCCGACTCGGACTTTGAATACGATGACGCGGAGGACTTGGAGGAGCTTACCTTGACTCGGTCTCCATCACGACAGATTCCGCCCGAGCTGTCGTCCGATTCCGATGAGGAGTCGGAGGAGGAATCGATGCCTCCCTCCCCCCCGCAACCCACGCTGGACACCTTCTCTGAGAAGGAAGCTGAAGCTACCGAACTTCCACTGTCGGGAAATGGATTTGAAGATGGGTACTACATCTCGAGCAATTCGCGGAATACAATTATTGAGGCCTACTAAACGCCCTCGCTGATTGACGACTGCATCGATGTATATACCCTTCTTGTGATACCCCTCCTACATTCTTGGGTTTGGTTTTGGATTTGTTTCAGCGATACATTTTTTATTTCAGCGGGTATGGCGTTTGGGCTGCAAAAAAAATTATATATTGTTGGCGATTTTGCATTTACTACCTGGCATGGTCTGGACTTACTGGCGTTCAGACCTAACGTGCCTAAATGATTGGGCATTGTTGGATACTCTACTCTCATATGGGGCTTTGTTTTGCGTTCCCCACCTGCTGGCCAGGCATACCCTGTGCCCATGAATGTCTTGACGACGACGATGCATATCATATACCTTAGTTTAGAATTATATATAGTCTTCACATCAAAGAAATGATATGGATAATCCTTTCTACTCTCCATCCTAGTTCATATTTCCCATCCTATACATCCAGCATGTTCTCCAGGGTCCTTTTCTGCAGTCGATAGATGGTCCGCGGTGTCGAGGGGCTGATAGCGATTCTCTCTTAGCTCAGGACTAGTTTAGGTACCGACCCAATAGTTGGGCTGACTATAGTGACTATACGGAACTAGTTGACAATCTAGACCAGGACCCAAGACGCCGATCCATTAACGCGGCACCGCACCCGCGCACACCGCCCAGTTGACTTGGATCAATCACATGGGCGATCAGCCGGCGGATCACTGGTCGAGACAGTCAGCAAGAGACAAGTCACTTGGTCGTGGTCGTCGCCTCACGGTCGTTCAAAGAGAGGGGGTGGACGGGCACATTCGGCTGGGTGGCTGTGCCATCAGTCTCCCGCTGATAAGATGGTCCTCAAAAGTGGAGATCATCAATGGAACGCGGGCAAAAACCTCCGAAGGACCGTCTTGCAATGAAAAAATGAAGGTTATTCGGACGCCGCGACTCCCGTGCGATCCGAGGATTGACCTCAATAGCTGGAAGCTTTGAGTCACCATACATTGTTTGTTCGGATCCTCGGAATGTACTATCGTGAGTTCTTCTCCTTTGGCTTCATTTCCTGTTTCGGTTAGATTTTCCCTTTGCTCAACTGACATTCTTCAGTCAGTCCGGAGAGGGGAGGTGTACCTCCGTGATTTATACTAGCGCATAACTATGACATCGATTATCTCATCATAAGCATAATTTCTCATCTAGTAGCAATATCCAGGGTATTGATGAATCTTAATTTATTGATGACAATGTTTATTTTGTTTGGTTCAAATCGCACATGTACTTTATGTAAAACATCCAATCAGCCCTTGCGCCCTTCCACCTGAATAACAGATCGATATGGGATATCATTCAAGCCCTCCTCGAACACTAGTAGTAGTCCTCAGTAGAATTCCTTAGGGTTCGGTCGGAAGCGTGATCATGGGCCCTCACATGTCAACCCAACGTGACCAGGGGGTCTCACCGCCTTGGCCCCTCCCCCCCGTGGTTTCTCCTGCTGCATCCGGAAACTGCTCGTAAGAGGCTCTTCTGGTAGTAACCGTACGACTATACGACTATTCCCTCTGATAGCGGGTTCCTGTCTGAAGGTTAACCCCAACTCCCTTGCTCAAGGCGCTCCAGCCGATTTCGTCGCAAACCATGCTCAGCGTCCTCCGTATCACTCCACTGGCAGCACTTCAGGAGCCTCACGGTGGCTGAGTTGCGACCTGATCGATCCGGATCATTTCCAAGAACACAGACAGGCATTGCTACATCGCAAGCCTCTTAGTGTCTTCGTCCGGCCACAGTACTTCCTGGAAAACGAACAAACATAACACTGTACCATCCACGACTACGCTCGCGGTAGCGCCATTGAACCCCACGCTGCATCATGAGTTCCACCCCAAAAAGCTCCCTCGATAGCGAGGAGCGCGCATCCAACGCTTCCGAACGCTCATCCCAGCATTCACGCATTTCGTCCACGGCGGATAGTCCCCGTCGGAAGTCGATCCAATTCAACATTGCGGGTCCGAGCCACAGGGTCAGCACCGTCGATCTACGAGCGCCGTCGGCGGGCGCTGGCCACAACAAGAAGCGCCGGACAAAGAACAGAAGGCCGCTGGGAGAGGTCCTTCGCCCCCGCCACCTCGGTAAGTCGATAATGCTGGTTCTCTCTACTTGTGCCATCGCTAACTCGCGTTCGCATTTATGTAGAACCTACGAAAGAGGTGTTTCTTTCAATACATTCGATAATCCTGACGCGGCGGACTTCTCGTTGACTCTGAATTACAAACACAAGGGGTATCAGTCTACCCGGCGCAGTCGGACCTTTTTATGTGGTACGGATCAGAATGATTATTCCGACTTTGCCCTGGAGTGGCTCATTGACGAATTGGTGGATGATGGCGACGAGATCGTGTGCCTTCGAGCCGTGGAAAAGGACTCCACCATCGCAAGCGACGCCGCAATTGAGGAGGGAAAGTACCGCCAAGAAGCGGAGAAGTTGTTCGAGCAGGTGATCCAGAAGAATAGCCAGGACGAGAAGGCAATCAGCCTAGTCTTGGAACTGGCGGTGGGGAAAATCCAGGATATCATTCAGCGCATGGTACGTTGGTCCTCGTCCCGATCCTGGTGCCTTGAGGACAAGCTGACAGAAGAAGATCCGAATCTACGAGCCCTCCGTACTGATTGTTGGCACCCGTGGCCGTAACTTGGGTGGTGTCCAAGGCCTGCTGCCCGGCTCCGTCTCCAAATACTGCTTACAGCAATCTCCGATTCCCGTGATCGTTGTCCGTCCCTCACTAAACGGGAAAAGAAGAAGAAGAAGCGTCTTGCGGATCCCACCCGCCGCAGCTATAATCAGATCCTAGAACTGAGCGAGCAGCGTGGAAGCAAGTTATTCGACGCAGGTTCGAGTACAGACAGTCATGTCTCGAGACTTCCAGACGAAGAAGCTGCTGTAGCCGCCGCTCTCGGTCTGCCTCAGTCGTACGCCAACTCCCGAAGCTCGCTCTCGATGTCCGAGCGGAGCAGTGTTAGCCATGATGAGAATGACTCGCCGTCTCCCAATAGCGGCTCCCTTGCCACCACCCATAGCCCAGCAGCGGGAAGCCCGGAGAGCACCGAAAGCGAAAGCACAACGGAAAGCACAACGGACGACGAACCTGTTCCCCAGGCCAAAACTCCGCCCGAGCGCTCGTCATCGGAGACGGTATCTACGGAAGAGTCCAAGACAGTTGATGCAGCGTCGACGGATGAGTCCGAGCTGGCCAGCTCTACTCAGAGTACACCAAGACCAGGCAGTTCTAAACTGAACATTCCGGTCATTGTTACTGAAGATATGACCGAGAAGGGATCAAATGGCCAGTGAGCCTTGGATGACCTGCTCTACCGAGCTATCACGACGTACCATTTCAGAACTCATCCGAGAAAGGGTGCTAGCCCTGTATCTCCGCTAGAAGTCACATCATCACACCATCAGCCAACTAGGTCATAACCTCACTACATAACCAGAAGCTACCATGGAGAGGAATCTCATGACTACATGAATATCAGGTCGATACATCGCTCTATACAAAGGAGGCACACACACACCATCTCTACTCTCGACGGACCACTATGGGTATATCTGACTACGTCTCTACTTCACATAGAGACCAGTCCCGCCTGCAAGGTGGCTACACTGTCCATCATGAAACCGAATATATTACAAGCCTCAGCTAATCAGCAATTAACGGGAATCACCACCGCGATCCCCAACTTCAAACCCCACTCCAATACCATAATCTCGATTCTCAATCATACACCGACTATGCACAAGCATTAGCATCAGCATCAAGATCGCACGAATAGATCTCGCATCTATGCATAAACCATAGATAGATAAACAATAAACAAGATAAACTACTCAATTCATACAAAGAAATCCCAGATTTTCCTCGTTCAAACCAAAGTAGAAAACCAATATTCTGTCTCAACCAGAAGATATATTTCCAAAGCCGAGCCGACAATATCAACCCCAAAATACATATTCGTATAACACTATCTATTCTCCATGCAGTAAGTAGATAATGTACTTACAAGACGCTTTATTATAGTGCGCCTCGATCTTATTCTTATTCTTACGATTCTCCTTTTTCGACAAAGAAATATGTAAAATCGAGCAGCGCCCAAAAATCCAACATACTACCAAAATCCGTCCGCACAACCAATAACTACCCGCTATTCTGCACCCTGCAGAAAAATATCAAGCTCAATGAAGTAGATCCTGCATCTATGATAACTTCAGTCTCGAAGGTTTACCATATATATAGATCAGGACTGGATACGATAGTCATTATTAAGAAATGTATACATATTATTACTTATGGAAGAACCGGTCGATGAAGTTACGATGTAGACAGGTAGATGATTACCAGAAAGGCTGAGAGATACTAACTATGCTATACCTTTAATCGAGGGCTAGATAATACACGGAGACAGAACTCAATTGATGACTTTGGTTAGGTGAGTGACCTGACGTCGGGGATATCGTCAATCAATTGAGAAATACACAACATTATGAACACATCATCACCCGCGAGGGCATGGTATGGAAGGTAGTGAATGGAAGGTGATTGAAATGAAAAGAGGAAACTTTTTCTAACGAAGTTTTTGTCTAGCAAAGGGTTTTAGAGAGACATATCATAGCAGATGAAGCAGACATCGCCAGCACACACCAAGCCAGTGTAGATGCAATGCATACAAAGATGACTGAAAACGACAGGGGGAAAGAAATAAACACATAAGCTACATCATGCCTGGCATGAGACAAAATAAGTAGCTGTGAGAAAGTCTTGTCCTGGTTGGGTCAAACGTCGGTGTCAACGCTTGTCCGGGACGGAAAACTGCTGAAGCAACTCCGGGTATTGAAATGCAAAGGACATAACAAGAAAAAAAACAAAGAGGACATATCAGACATCCCTGCAAGCCAACCTATCTCGCTAGATTCTTCAAAAGCCCCACCTTCATTATGGCATTTCGCTTTTGAAACACAACATTCATTGTACATTATAACGTCGGAAGCGTCTCCCTCTTCCAATCAATGGATGGGAACGGAAGAGTGTGTAAGCAACCGGGTACCGAAATCATGGACGAGAAGATTAGGAGGAATGAGCATGTGACATGAATAACATGGCATAAGGTTCAACAAAAAAGAGAAGAATAAGTGGGAAATCTTTCCAGAAGAAACGGAATAATTTTCATTATCATTGCCAGAGAATCTATGATGCTTCCTCGCCGTCCTTCGAAGGGGTCTTGGATGGCCGGCGCTCAACGGCGGGTTGCGACTTGGCTAGCAAAGGGGAGGTAGGGTTGGAAGGGGGGAAGTAGCCATGTTGTCGCGGTCTTCCAAGGCAGCAAGAGCACTATTATCAATGTCAGATGGGGGTTTCCAAATTAGACGATGCGTGAAAGCTACAACTTACCTGAACGCGTTGATCGACGACGCAGCTTCCTTGTCTTCCTTCTTGCCAGCAGGGGGGGTTCCAGTCCGGCTGCTAGCAGCGCTATCATCGCTGCCACGAACCAAGTTGCCACCAGGGCCAAGGTTCTTCCGGCCGCTGCTGCTGCGAGAGCCCAGCATGCTGGAGGGACCAAAAGACATGGGCTGGCTGGTGTTGCGGGTCGTACGCAGGCGACGGAGGTCGTCGCTGCCGACCTTGCTGGAGGCGTAGTCCGGAGGAGGTGCCTGGTTGCCATAGCCAGAGTAGCTGCGAGCATCACCACGACCCATAGAGGGACGGCCACCCCGGTTCGCCTGCTGGCGGAGACGCTCCATCTCGGCCTCTTGTTGCGCACGAGCAGCCTACCGCGACGGTTAGAAAAGCATACCAAATACTGCCAAGGTACACATACCTCTTCTCTGATCTGTTGGATAGTCTTGGGGCCCTTGTCGGCGTCCTTGGACTTCCACTTGGCATTACGCAAATCGATGATGTCCTGAAAAAAAAGAGGGATGGGTGTTAGATACGCACTCAACGTGGATGGGGATCTTGTGGGGCTTACCATGAGCATGAACTTCAATCGGCTGGGCAGATTTTGGATCTGCACCATGTTGTTAATGCGCTGGAAGTAGACATCCATGAACGTGTGACCCTTCTCAGAGGCGTCAAGGCTGGCACCAATGGTACGCAGCAGGCTGGTCAAACTCTCTACCTCGGCTTCATCAGGAACACCTTCGTAGTCGACCAGCTTCTTCAAACACTCGTGCATGATACGCTCTGTCAACATGCCAAGCTTGTACAGTTCACCAATGAACTTAACGAGACCCAGACCACGACGCTTGGCAGCGGCAGCCTTGTAGTACTCATCGGACATCATGGCAGCCTCCTCAGTCTGGCCTTCAGGCTTAGGAGGGAGGTTCACCTTCCAGCCACGTTCGAACTCTTCTTGACAACGGTTGAGCAGGTACTTGCGGAACAGACTACCGCCAACAACGACATTACCGTTCTTGTCGCGGATGTTCTCGTCCTTGATCTCTGGGCTCATGCTCTCAAGCATGCTCTTACAGAACTTGGCATAGATCGAGGCCCAGTGAGCCTCGTCGGTTGCCTTCTCGAAGGTCAACTGGATAACTTGGCGCAAAGTACGTCCGTCGGACTCGTCCTTGGATTGAGAGACGATTTCCAAGATCTGGCCAGAAATACGGTCGAAGTTCTCGGGAGTCATCTTGTTCAAAGCAGCCTTGACCTTGCGCTGCACCACGTCGGGAGCCAGATAACCAGCACCAGGGGCAGCAGCAGCAGCCGGCTGAGCCTGGCCCACACTGCGGGGCTTCCAACCGGTGGTTGAAACCTGGAGTGCTGCGACCTCCTTTCCGGCGGTAAGAGGCATGGACTTGGCCATTTCCTCTTCCTTCTTGGCTTGATGCTTCTCACGCTTGCTGCCGGTGCGGGTGCCCGAACGGTTGGAACCCGGGCGAGGGGATCCTGGCATCATGGGATTGGCAGAGTTGGTGCGACTGAGCGCAGGCGAGCCCATCGGCATAGGCCCGCGTCCGAAAGAGCCGAAAGAGTTGTTCATAGAAGCGGTACGAGCGGCATTGGCAAGAGCAAAGCGCTGCTCGGAGGTTGAGCCCGGAGGTAGACTGTGCCGGGACGCAGATTGGACGAAGCTGCCCATCTGGAATCCCTGGGAAATGCCGGAGCGGGAAGTATTGCGACCACCCATCATCGGGGTGCGAGCCGACTGTGGGCGAGAAGAGTCGCTATCACCCACGGTCTCACGCACGCGTGCATCCCAGTCGACGGATGGCTTCTCCTTGAACACACTCTGGAACTGAAGCAAGAACTCCTTGTTGTAATGGAACTTGCGATCGACGGGTGCATTGGCATTCAAAGCGGGGTTGGGAGACACAATGGAGGCAGGGTAAGAAACCTGGCTCAGGTCCTCAATCAGCCGAGCGGAGTGAAGAGACTTCATAGCGGCGCTAGGCTGAGGAGGCTCAACGGCCTTGTTGGTTTCCAACTTGAGCGCAGCAGGCTTCTCACGCTTGCCAGCACTGGCGGGCTTGGCGGGAGGACCCATCGAAGCATCAGAAGTCGGAGTAGCGGTTCCGCTCTCAGCGGGCTCGCTAACTTCCGTCGCAGCCCATCCTCCTCCCTTCTTAAGCGAAGAGAACAGGTCCTTGTTTGAAGTGTCTTGCTCACCGGCTTCGCGCTTCTTCATCCGAGCTTCTTCGAGAGCCTCAGCCTCGGCCTCGGCCTTCTTCATGTTGGCCTCGTAGGCTTCGCGCTCCTCCTTCTCCTTGCGCTCCTTCTCCTCCTTCTCGGCTTGCTTCTTGGCATAGTAGGCGGCTTCGGCAGCAGCTTCCTTGGCCTCGAGCTCGGCCATTTCCCGCTCGATAGCATCGTAATCAATTTCATCATCGTCAGCAGGAGCGGGAGTGGGCTCAGCGGCCTTGGAAGACTCTTCCGCAGCGGGCTTGGCATCCTCGGCCTTGTCCTTCAGGCTGAGATCCTCCAGACCCTTCCGCGCGGCTTCCTCATCGGCAGCCTTCTTCTGTGCAGCCTCCTTCTGTGCAGCCTCCTCTTCTTCCTTCTGCTTGCGGGCCGTCTCCTCTTCCTGCTTCTTGCGAGCGGCTTCTTCTTCTTCCTTTTGGCGAGTTACCTCGGTCTCTGCAGCCTCCTTCTTGCGGCGGGCCTCGGCCTCATCCTGCTCGATCTTCTGGCGCACAGCATCCTTCAGCTCCTGCTTCTTCTCCTCGTCGGTCTTGGTTGCCTTGGAGTCGGTCCGGGTGTGATCCGCACCGCTGCTGCTGCGAGGAGGCGGCGTGGCGGTCGGAGTCGCCAACTTCACGGGAGATGGGGTCGCACGAGCGGGAGACGCTGGGGCCTTCTCGAAGGTCTTCACCGCACCACTGCCAGGGTCCTTGATGACAATAGCACTCTTCTTGCTCGACGGGATGACGAAGTTCTGCACGCCCGGGGCGGGGCTGTTGGAGGGACGGCTAGCAGTGTGCGCATGGCCGGAGGCGGGAGGACCCGCCGGGGGCTGACCGTGTCCCAAGCTGGAGCCGGGCCGGTCATTGGACACCTGCGAGGGCGAGCGAGACATGGCCTGTGGCGGCTGCTGAGGGGGGTACTGGCCTTGCATATAGGGGGCCTGAGGACTGTAGGGCATGCCGGGACGAGGTTGAGGGGACGAGGGGGGAGCCATGAACTGCTGCATGGGGTATTGTTGGTAGTAGCCATAGTTGGGGTCAAAGTAAGGGCCCTGGTTCGATTTCATCAATGTTAGATAGTGTTCAAAATGACCGCTCTCTGGCGCCAGATTGGGCGGCGGAAGTGAAATAGAGGGGTGGGGAGGGGGGGCATTGGGGGAAGATAAGACTCGGGGACCAGGCTTCCTCTTGGGGAGGAGGCCGCCACGACGAGGGGGTCTGGTATAAGAATGGGTCCTCACAGATTGGTGCGCCATGTGTGGGGGATAGGCGCCGTACGGCTGGGGGGGTCCCATCGGGACGGTGCTCATCTGCGGCGTCGCGGGGTGTGCAGTGGCCAACGCTGGGCTGCGGTTGGCCTGGGGCGAGTTAGGGAACGGCGGCATCGGGCGTGCTTGGTTGGGAGGATGGTATTGGGGGTTCATACCACCCCGGGGCTGGTTGGGAGTGCGGAAGCTAGGACCAGGCGAGTAGGCCATCTGGCCCTGATAATTTGACTGCGAGTATCCGCGACCACGGCCACCCTGATGGTAATGACCACCACGACCGGGGCCACTGCCCATGTGGTTACTCATGTCGCTGTGTGTCGACTGAGACGATTCGCGACGCAGATGTGTCGACTGAGGACCGGGACCAAGGGGGGCTTGTGACGGACGAGCCTGCTAGTGGGACGATTATTATTAATCCCGAAAGTTTCCAGGTGCCAAGAGAAAGATCGATCCCAGTATATCACCCGCATTTAAGCTCAACAACTTGCATAAAAACAAAATAAAAATAAATAAATAAATAAATTCTCTCTCTGTCCTTCTCTCCACGCCATAACTATGGTGTCGTAAAAAAAGGTACAGAGAAGAAGAGCCAAGATTATCACAAGATAAATTCACAAAAAGATTGGGGAAACCCGAAAGGAAACGGATACCATCGAAATTTTCAACGAAGAACGAAAAGGAGGTACTTACATTGTCACCTGCATCACCGAAGCTGCCAAAGTTGGGAACATTGCCTTGAGCCTGGTATGACGACGGCGGTGGCCGGCCACCGCTCGAGGCGGGTTGAGGAATAGGCGACGGCGAAGTCTGAGGCGAGGTAACACGGGGGTTCGCACTTGGGTTGACACCCAAACCGGACTGGGGCTGGTTGGCCAGCACGGCTGGGTTACCCATATTGGGCGAGGCTGGCTGGTTGGCAGCGAAGCCAAACTGCAAGCTATTGGGACGACTGCTGGGGCCCCCGTTGGGGATGTAGCCTGAGGTACCGGCGGAGGTGATGGTCACGGAGGGCTTGCGAGAGTGATCGCCTTGCGCGGAGGTAGGAGCCGGGGCGCCATTGACGATGGTGACGCCGGGGGTCTGAGGTTGCTGCATGGGTTTGCCGCTCACAGGAGATACTGAGGTCGACTTCCCATGTTGCGATGAACCGCCCACGGTGACGGGAGCGGCGGTCGAGTCCGTCGCGGACTTTTTGGTGGCGCTGGCGTAGGACTTGGTCGCAGCCGGCTGAGAAGAGGGATTCCCAGAGGTTGCAGGAGCGGGAGTTTGAGAGGCGGCCTGGTTAGAGGTGCTCTGTCCTTGAGGTTGAAGGCCTGACTTTGGTGGGATCGAGCTCATTAGACAGGTAGGTGAGATGAGTTGTTAAAACAAAAGCGCTTTTAGTTTGGAGGGGAAGGGGAAGAAAGAAAAAGGGAAGAAGGGAAGGGAAAAAAAAGTTTTAAGATAAGCGGGAAGGAGTTTTGATAGTAGAGAAGGCAGTGTGGGTGATGTCAAAGCGTGTTACAGCAGAAGGCGAACACACTCCAGATCCCACATCAAATAGATGTCAATTTTATTCTCCCACGGAAATTGGAGGATAAAAAAGATTTTTTAAGGTATCGGGAAGAAGAACCACCGACACACAAAAAAAAAAAAGATTCTCTGATGATCAAGAGAATAAAAAAGAAACGTCGTGGGTAAACGACGAAGGAATCCTGGGGTAAAGCAGGAAAAAGGGAAAAAGGACAATAAATTCCAAAGAGGGGGAGAAAAAGAAGAAGTTGGGAAAGATTTCGCTGGTTCCCTTTTTTTTGCCCTTCTGCTCTGGTGGTGCTTTTTTTTTTTTTTACTGCTCAAAGTGGAAACGAGCGAGACCAACAACGTAAAATAAAAAAAATAATAAAAATAAATGAACAAAAATACAAATTCCGTACGGAAAACACCATACCAACAATGTAGGCAGTGGATATGAACAACACAAAACTGGCGGTATTCCGGATGGACCACTTAACAGTTCCTTTTATTATATTCTAACGGTTTCAAAGAGATCCTCAGGGTGAATCTGCTTATTCTATTCTCTTCATCTGATTTTATTATTGTTCTCATTCTTATGATTTTTTTTTTTTTTTTCGTCTTTTCTTTTCTAAGAACAAGGCAAAGGGAAGAGAAGAGGATCGGACAGTACTCCGTATACCAAAAATACATACCACGATACGCATCCCCACTCCATGTCAGGGAAGAGAGAACCAGCAGGAGCAACGGAGCAATACCTAGTACCATCAGTCTACTACTAACTAACAGTACCAGTAGAGGTGCTGCACATTCAACTCTCAGACCGAACAATACAGAAACCAGGCTGGTTACCCGATCGGGAACAAGTCGGGTTGAGGCGGAGGAGAAAAAACAGCGCCAAGCCGTCACACATTCACGATTTATTCGGTAGTCATTGTTCTTTCAACCATTCCAATCCAACCAGCTGTTGCCTACTCTTTATTACCAGCTGTGATTCATTTGGTGGCCGTGAATCAGATGCTTTTCTTTTCATGATTGGTTCAAGCAGAGCGCACTGGTACCTCTCACGGTCCAACGATCTCTACGAAGTGGAGCTTCATCAGGAAAATCCTCCATTCAAGAGGCTCGTGAATAGGCTGTATCGACACCTCAGGTGTGAATTGCCACGATCCGCAGTCACCCAATCAACCGGACTTTAAACCCAGACGGGCTTAGTGTACCAAAAGTCACTGACTCGTCAGCCTCCTGCTCCCATGGACCGCCGCCCATCTACCACCAACGCGTACCCCCTACTTCACCGACTTCTGCTCAATAGTCGCAAGAGACTAGCTGGAAAAGCAGGGTCGGGCGTCGTAGTCTCATCTTCCTGCAAGGATTGATTGAATCTATGGGGGGGGCGTTGGGCAGCCACCCTGCAGCGGAGTTGATACCGCAGATTTGGATATTTATTTATAGACTAGTAGTATAACATGATACACTCATCATCCTGGTTGCCACAGCTTGTCATGGCGCAGTCCAGGTTCATATCTACTATCTCTTGTAAAGAAACCTTAAAGAAACCTTCCTTCAGCTAGTGAAAGGTCCTTGTCTAAGATCTATTGTCACTTTATGGTTCCATGCAAAATATATAGTCCGTAACTGGAAGCAATCATCTCATCGTACTTCATAGCAACGATTTACTTTGATCTTCTGCAACAACATCAATGCATACTATAAAAGCTCTCAAAATCACACTTGCACCGCCAGAGAAACACCCCTTATCAAGAGAAATGATTTCACCCCCGAAAGTACCTCCATGCCCCGGCCGCAGCGCGTGGCGCCAAAACCATACCTCGAGCCACGCCATCGACAACAGCGCGTCCGTACCCATTCATTGCAGCGCTCTGAACATGCGCAAAGATCCCTTGTCCAACGATAGGTGTGATGTGACTTTGTGCCCATGAAGCCACCGAGCCTATCATATACTGCGTTAGCAGCTGCTATCTCGGTGGAATGTAGGTAGCCGGGGCATAAAAAAAGAAAAGAAAGAAATATTTTAAAAAAAGAAAAACCATACCAGCAGCTGGTCCGGCACTCGTAAACCCAGCGGCGTGCATAAGAGGTCCCGTAACCATGCTGGGACAGATAAAGGCTCCGGCTTGCACCGCTCCCCAGAGCACGCTCTTCGGGTTCTCCGAAATATAATGTGCGGTGTTTTGAGGAAGATTTGTCCAATCTATCTGGGATGCTTGGTCCACCGCATGATTGACCAGTATTTTAGAGCTGTTTAGGATGGACTCCGTGGTGATATTGGACGGGGTGAAATGTGCTACAATTTGCTGAAGTCGTTCCATGATTCTGGAGTTGCAGCTGAAGTGAAGGTTTATGGATCGAGTAACTGATCTGCGGCAGTGTTCTTGTAGGACTGACGCGCTAAGGCACACTAGGTCGTTAGGCAGAAAAGCTGATAGTCAAGGAAGAGCACCGTCCCGGAGAGTGAAGACCCCGCGGGGGAACGACAGACAGAAGGGATGTACTGACGAGGCTGTTAATTTTACGACTCTATATAGTTCTGCATACGCGCCCACTCGCTAGCGCATCCGACGACTGCGGCAAGGCGCATTTACCCTGTGAAGAAAATTTTACTCAGCCAGTTAAAATTTTTGTTTCTAATTGTTCAAACCATCTATCCTGCGTACACACAACCCATTTTGAATTCAGCAAATACAAAAGCAAAGACCGAAAGATAAGAGAAGCACAAAAGAGCAGGATCACGCTTAATGAGAACCGCGGGATCGAGCCAATTCCTCCGCTGCTCGCGCCGCAAAGTCTATGCCAGACGCCCAGTTGCTGCTGGTGGACCGATCACGGATGTCCTCAGGTTCGATATGATCAAACGAGTTGTCGCTACGGTTCTTCCTCAGGGACGAGCCGGATGCGGGGTCATCGTCCCGTCCGTGCAGGGATTGCTGTTCCTTTGCCAACGCATTGCGCAGCACTTCCAACATATCCTGCTGGTTTGAGAGGTATTTGGACTTCTCATCATGAGACATGCCGGCCATGTCACGGGGCAAGAAGGAGCCGCTGGCCGAGAGTTCCTCCGCCCGTGCCTCCGGAGTCTTACCGGTGGAGGTCATAGACGCCACGGCAGAGCCAATGGCCGAAAGCCAGTCGTTACCCTGGGCAGGGGCATTGGCATTTCCTCCGGCTGCTGTCGGGACGTTGAACCGAGAGAGAAGCGACTGAGCGTATGCAGCAGGGCCGGTCGCCGGAGGCGGAGGGGCAGCCTGTTGGGCGGGCAGGTGGAAAACATTCTCGCGGACCCAATCCAGTCCTTGGTAAAAGTATTGGAGGCCCAGCGCCTTGGCACGCTCATGAGAGCGACCGATGAACTCTTCAATTTCTCGTTCGTGCTGGGCTAGGAACGGGTCAACGTAAGTCTGGTATATGATCTGGGCACCCTGAGTCTGGGGCAGAACCAGATAGGAAAAGAAGAAGAGACGGAACCAGCTATAGAACGGAAGCCTGTATAGGATGTGTTAGACATCTGTATCGTGGTGATTTCCGGCGGAAGTAACATACCATCCCAAAATCCACACCGTCCAGGACTCAGCCATCAAGATGGCCGACAGGACCACCCAATACATTAACCATGGTGCTAGCTGCGATGGGTTCGACGAGCGCAGGGCTTTGAAAGAAGCGAAAATAGGGAAGAGGATCGTAATGACCGAGCTACGCATGAATCCCGTTAGCGTTCCAGAAACAGGCAGAAAATTCTCGGGAGATATAGAGCGACAGTTCCGGGGTTCCCGCAAATAGGAGCCATATTACTTACGACAACAAATCGGCGATGATTCCAAACATGGTGGAAGACGGAGAATATTTCACTTGCTTGGAGACGTCTCAAAACGTGGCCGACGTGAATGAGTTGGCAAGAGTTTGGTAGAATATTTGGCGGTCAGTGAAGCCTTTGCTTTTGCGGGGCAAAGAAATGTTGATCGGCGAGGCTTCACGCGACCGAGGGAGTACGGAATAAGAAGCGGCCAGCCGCAATGGCAACTAGAGAAAGAGAGGAGAGGAGAAATATGATTTTCAAGGACGGGTGGTAAGGGGAAAGAAAGAGAGAAAAGGCCAGCACGACACAACGATGGTTGCCTTAAGGGAGATCAGCCCTACTGTGATCCATCCACTATTACTCTTACAAGTTTAGCAGATGGAGCTGAAGAACCATCGACGAGATTAGGGCAACCTTTCTATTTCCGGGATCACGAGTCGCAGCGAATCACACCCGGCTTGACGTCATGATTTAAGGTTTGTTCAATGCCTGGGAAAAGTTTATCCGGACGAGAGAGGTAATAGTCTCAAGTCGTATATATTGGATGAAGCTGAAGTGTTGCTGTGTTAAAAGCAACGTGGTTGCTTTGCTATTCATTGCTGAGACTTGTCCACAGGAAATTGGTTTGGTGTCATATATTCTTCCTTCTGACTACGCTTCCAGGTCATACTACTACGTGTCAAAATCTTTCAAACAACGACAACAAACCCGTGAGTTCATCATCGATATAATCAAAAGGTTTATGTAGTACCTTGCAGGGGAGACAGTCTCTCAAATCGCACGCGTACTTTTTGCATCTCGACAACTCCATGTGCTGAGTCATACAGCCTGGAGTACGATCACGTGAGAAGTTGCTATTTGTGGAAGCGAGCCCCATATTAGTGGGTCAAGACAGGCGGTGAGGGAATCTGCCGGCAGTGTCTCTGCCCGATGACTTCAGTGCCTGGACTATATTAGTTCTGGTGCCTGTCCCTCACAACTTCTACAGATGTGGAACTTTGATACCTGTATATCTTTGATGACCCTTCGTTAATTCCGTTAATCAAACATATTAAGATTTAAGCATATCTGTCAGCAAGAAACTGGTAGCTGCCCCTCCAAGCAGCACCATACCCTTGTCTCAAACACACGTACGATAACGACTTGACGCTACCGAACCGTTAGAATGTGTATTGCATTAATATCTACAGCCCATCCGACTTATTCGCTTATTGTTATCGACAACAGGGATGTATGCGGCTAAATTACCTACAACGGGATCACCTGATATGCCGTGACCTAACAGTGTCTAGGAATACCTCCGTCGACCAACCGCCCCGGCTGATTGGTGGCCCGAATCAAATTCCAATATATTAGGTGGCCGGGACCTAGCACGAGCTACACAAGGAACATGGATGGGAGTTACGAAGGAGGGAAAGATTGCTGTTTTAACGAACTATCGTGAAGATACGTCCGAGAAGGCTACCGGCACACAAAGTCGCGGGGCTATCGTCAACGGCTGGCTTACGGTCGCCCCTGAGCCTAAAGAGTCTACTCGGGACTTTGCGCAGAGGATGGTAGCAAGTGCCACGGCGAGAAATGTCGGGGGATTTAGCCTGGTGTGCGGCTATGTGGACGAGCCATTGGCTGTGATCTCCAACCGCTCGTCCAATATGGACCAAGTCACCTGGCTGGCGACAGAAGAGGGACAGACGGTGGGATTAAGCAACACGCATTTTGATGATCGCTCCTGGCCAAAGATAATCGATGGCGAGAAGCTGATGATTGAAGTTATCCAGGCACACGTGGAGGCTCGAGAGGATGAAGATCAACTCATCGATAGGTTACTTGGGTTATTAAGCAAGGATACGCTCCCTAACCTTTCCGAAGGCGCAACTGCGGAAGACTATCTCCCGCACTTTAGGAAGAGTATTTTCATTCCCAAGCTTGGGACCAAAGAGCAACTCACGAGGCCAGCTGATGGTGTAGCCACGGCTTGTGCTGAGGGAAAGGCGACTAGTGCTAAGCAGGGCGATGAGCTGGACCAGTCATACTTGCATGGTGCGTACGGGACCCAGAAGCAGACCGTTATCCTTGTTAGTAAAGATGGACGGGTGAGGTATTTTGAACGCACCCTTTATGACAATGAGGTGAACGCTATTCCACTTGGCAACGGAGACCGATCGTACGAGTTCCAAGTAACCCAATAATAGTCTCAACAGCCTATCTTGGCTGTCCTGTTATTCTCGGCCGTGATGATTGATTCTTGTACATAGCATAGCATAATTGACATGATGCCCAATTTTACTCCTATTTGCAGCAGAACACCTCAACCCTTTTCGGCGCCAGCTGTTATGCAGTGGAGTTGCCATCGTAGTAGCAATAACAGTACTAGCGATAGTGAGAATAGTAGCAGTGTTAGCAATACCAATCACCACTATCCACCAAAATGCAAGGGCCGGGAGCTCCTCTTTGCACGTGTCTGCCTTGACTCATGCCAGGTCAGGTGCACGTCGAGTCACGCAACATTCGGAGATTTTAAATCCATCTCGATTTCTTTCGAATGATCCCACACTCTTGGCTTGGAAAGACCTCTTACCATTGGCGCAGAGCGTCATTTGATCTTAATTCTGCCCATCCCCTTTCCTCTCATGCATATACATGGACGTACAATGTACAATTCGACAGGTTCACCGTATATAGCCACAACGAGTCCACAGAGGCGGAAAACTTTTCTTGGATCCGCGCAGCGCTCGAATCGAGTTCAGTTACTAGCTATGATTAGTTGCAAACCTATCAGAGCGGCCCTGCGAACTAATGTCTCATAGTAGTCGCTCCTCAATCGATGGTACCAGCCCCCGATGATCCTTCCACTGTTCATATTGTTTCAGTTTCATCGAACAAGCTTCGCTAAGATTTCAACTAATCCTTGGTGTCGCCCACTATTCCAACGGTGGCTGTTAAGGAACTTGCCGAGCACCCACAACGGATTTTTGTCGAGATTCCACCAATCTGCGGAGCCTTTCCGTGTTTCATCTTGATAACATATTTTGCTCACTCTTCACCCGGCCCCACGAAATTGGATCTGTAATTTGCCGCAATTTTGCCATTAGAGCGAATAATCAGATTTCTGCCAGTCTCTCTCCATTCGAATGGGTTCCTTAGTCCGGCTTACGCTTGGTTAAGCGTGCCCTAAGTAAGCGGCTATTGGCGCAGGAGCTTGATTCATTTCCGCCAGTCCCACAAGCCCGTGCTTCATAGATGACCGGAGATAGCACCGCTATTTCTCGAGACCATTCACTAGCACCATCGGGGCTATCTTCATGATTCCCGGCGTGCTGTTCTTGTCATTAAGCCCCTGAATTAGATTAACATCTCCGACTGCCAGCTAGTCTGAACGCCTCTTCATATCGAGCAGGCAACAACTTGATCGGCCCACGGGGGTATTCGGAATGTGTTCCATCTTAGGAAATGTGTACACTGAGGAAACAGATTCTGGATCAGCCCACAGATTAGCTGTCTCAGAATTCTAGTAGAACTCCCACGGTAGAATTCCTGGCTGAGATTAATGTGGAAACCGGCGGAATCGCCGGACATCTCTCTTTCCAAGGCCGAACGGATATAAAGATGTACGACTCTCGACGTTTTCTGGCGATGTTCTAACACTCCAAGCTCAAGACTGGTTCTTGTCATTCACTCATTCATTCTTTCGGTCCTTCATTTCATCACTCTTTTTGTCATTCTTTCTTTTCCCGACAAGCTCGGCATACATTCATTCACAATGAGAATCGGCAATTTGATCATGGCTGCAAGTGCTGCAAGCCTGGTGCATGCGTATCCCACGCGGGATATCAAAAAGCGTGGCTCAGGGTTCACCTGTACGTCAAAAAGTAGGCTTTGCAGTTACTGGATCTAACGAATGAGATAGGGGTCGGCGTTAGCGAATCTGGCGCTGAGTTCGGATCCAGCATCCCAGGAACACTGGGCACCGACTACACTTGGCCTGATACATCTAAGATTCAGACTCTGAGGGATGATGGAATGAACGTCTTCCGTATCCCGTTTCTCATGGAGCGTTTGGCGCCTAACCAGATGACTGGATCTCTGGACGCGACCTACTTGAAAGACCTGAAATCTGTATGTCTCCACCCAACGGATGCTCCTACAACTTTTGCTAATGCTTTTGTAGACTGTCCAGGCCATCACTGATAGCGGTGCTTACGCCGTTCTCGACCCCCACAACTACGGACGATAGTAAGACCTATTCATAGTTTATGTCTTGAGGCTATGTGAAGCTAACTAGTTACATAGCTCTGGAAGTATCATCTCTTCTACTTCTGACTTCAAAACCTTCTGGAAGACCGTCGCTGGAGAATTCGCATCGAACGAGAAGGTCATCTTCGATACTAGTAAGACAAGGTCGCCTACTACTAAAGTTGGATACTAACATATACAGACAACGAGTACCATGACATGGAGCAGTCTCTGGTCCTCAGCTTGAACCAGGCGGCCATTGACGGTATTCGCGCGGCTGGAGCCACGACACAATACATCTTTGTTGAGGGCAACTCGTACTCGGGTGCATGGAAGTGGGCCGATACCAATGACAACCTCAGCCAACTGACTGATCCTCAAGACAAGATTGTCTACGAGATGCACCAGTATCTCGACTCGGACGGCTCTGGTACCTCTGAGGCCTGTGCCAGCTCGACTATCGGTAAGGAGAGACTGCAGACTGCCACGCAGTGGTTGAAGACAAACAACAAGAAGGGTTTCTTGGGTGAATTCGCTGGCGGTGTCAATGAGCAGTGCGAGCAGGCTGTCGAGGGTCTCCTCTCTTACATGTCAGACAACTCGGATGTCTGGATGGGTGCCGAATGGTGGTCGGCTGGTCCCTGGTGGGGATCCTACATGTACAGCATGGAGCCGACTGATGGAACTGCCTACTCCACATACCTTCCCATCTTGAAGAAATACTTCGTGGATGGCACTGGCGCTAGCACCAGCTCATCGGCTACTTCTGCCGTCCCATCGACTGCAGCTGCCAGCACCTCAACCTCTGCCAGCACTTCGACCTCTGCCACCGCCTCGACTACCTCCGTTTCCTCGACTATCATCAGCACCGTGGAATCCTCCTCCACTAGCAGCGTTGCCGAAGCCCCCGCAACCACCTCGGAAGTCGACACTGCCACACCCACCCCATCTCACCCAGCCCCTCAGCCAACCTCTGACTCGTCCAGCGCTTCTTCCAGTGTGCCCACAAGCAGCGCACCAACGACTCTTTCGACCGCCTCGGCTTGTGGATACCGTTCTACCGTCACTGTGACTGCCAGCAAATCCACCGCAGCACCCAGCAGCTCCGCGAGTGCCGTCCCCCAGTACTACCAGTGCGGTGGAATCAACTATAGCGGACCCAAAACCTGCGAGAGCGGCTACACCTGCGTCAAGCAGAACCCCTACTATAGCCAGTGTCTCTAAAGGGCCAGTGGGGACGACGAGGTGGCGAGTTGATGGAATCGATCATCTTCACTTCAGTTGTACATATTACCAGCTTCAGTCTTGGATAGAACTCATCATACAGTATTCTCAGTCAACGATGATGATCATCATTGCAACCCCATATAACCATAGACACTGATAGAGAACTAGCGTAAGAGTGGCCCCAAAGTGGCAACTACCTTCAGCAAATACTTGAATAATCATTTAGAATCAGTGAAGAACTACACTATTTAAGGATTAGCCGTTCGTTATTTGCTGTCATCCTAGACAAGGGTCTGTAACACAGCTCAATTCGTCTGCACTATCTAACTATTAGCTATTGCCATAGATGGTATCACGATTCAGCTGGTTGACTGTACAGTATACCCTGGTCCCTTCCTGGTGCATAGACAACTCGGCAGCCGAACGGCGACTTCGAGTCCATGTCCGCTGGCTTTCAATAGCGAATGATGGACATGAGCCTGCCTGATCCGAAGGGATCTGCTGGATATAAGTTATACTCAAATCCAAATAGCAAAGGTAAAGAATCAGTTTTTTAGTCCTTTCAATATCTACTGTCTGTCTTTTAGTTTCTGCCTATGTATGCTTACCTAGTCGAAGGTCCTTCTACATAGTACGCTATTCTTATGCCTCATTTTGCATGCTCAAACCACAGCTACTTAAAAAACTAACCCTCTCTCATCCAAAGTCGGATATTTGCGCAAGGCGTAAAAGTCCAACCAAAACTCACGAGCCTCAGTATGATCCGGCAGATACTTGCGCAATAAGTCTTTCCATTCCTTGTCGTCTTGCCCTAGCCCAATTCCTGCGCAAGTAAACTCCCACCAAACCGGAAAGTAGCCTGAAAATTCCCAGTCCAGAATTCCCGCCAAACCATTATCATCCACCATGATATTGACATTGGTCAGGTCACCATGAGTGAAGGTATAGGGAGTAGCAGCAGGCATACGCCTCCGTAACTCCAAACGAACATTCTCCGGCACATTCTCCAAGGCCAGCGCCATTTCAGCCCACAGCTCATCATCTGACGAAAACGGGCCATGGCCGATGCAGTAGCCAGTTGGGAACAGAAAAGCCGAGTAGAGTGGCTGTCCGCCGAGGCTTTCCATTAGGGCTGAGTGAAGCCCGCGAAGCTGCATCAAATACTCCGCGGTCTGTTTTGCGACACGCTCTTTGTCTGCCCCAGACATGGTAGCCCAGATTTCACTCAAGGGACGGCCGGGGATCCGTTTGCTAAGCAGGAAATAGGTCCCGTCGTCTTCCTGCCACTCCTTGACGAGTTTGGGGACGGGCATTGAGGTTCTTTCGGCCAGGAACTGGAGGTTAGTAGATTCGAAGTTGGGTGGCTCAGTGGTCCGCTCTTTTAGAATCAGATGTGACCCCAGAGACCATGCTCCGTGATTGCTGACGCCATAGAAGAGTTTCACGTGGCTGTTGTAGCGACATCCTTCTTGACGGGTTGGTGACCAGCTACATGCTGAGCAGATGTGCTCGGTGTCCATCTAGTTAGGGGAGTAGAGGGCAGACATGGTCTTGTAATAGGTGGATGGTTAGCCTGGAAGTGGAGGGGTCTTATACGGTGGCACACGCCGCCATTCACCGCCCGGCCTACTTCAACAAGCTACTATAGGGAAGAGGGAGAAGTGATCTTTTATAGAGTGAGGACAGAGGTAGACGGGCGGTATAATACCCTTTTTAACGGTCCACTATCGTTCCTCATAGTTTGTTTCTGGAGGCCGTCAAACCAGTGCTTTATGATGAAGCTTGGGACATGGCGTATGTGCAACATTATCATTACTCTTCTTGGAAAACTAGAGAGCTGCCGTGGCTACTCGTGTACACAAACCCGCAAACTATTTTCAATAGTGGTGTAGATCGTCAGATTCATCACGATGTTCTTGTCGATCATTTCCCTATTCTCGACGTCTAAGCTGCAAGTGGGAGAGAGCTCGAAGATAAAAAAGTATGAAAGCCCACAATCCCATTTCTCTGATTTTATGAGACTTGTTTCTTTCACTCGCTTTCAAAACCAGTTATTTTGCTAGACAGCTGATAAAAGCTTGCCCTCTTTTGAACTACCAAGATGAAGTTCCTGCCAATTATTGTCACTTCTCTATTCATTGCTGCTACTACAGCTCTCCCGACTTATGACAACCCAACAAACGGGACAATTGTGCCACAGAGCGATTGTGCCAATCTGAATGCGGCTATACGTAAAGCTCAAGACTGGTACAAAAGTGCCCAAGACGACTATAAAAAAGATGCTTCGCCCGACAATCTAAAGCGCGTCAGACAAGCCGCCGTAGAGGTTAGAGCGGCCGTTGATGTGGGTGTGATCCGTACGCTTCATCTACACATATCTAATATTAACTGATTTAAATAGGAGGCTGGCAGTCACGGCTGTCTCTGAGTTTCGCGTACCTAGTCGAAGACAGGAAACCACCCGAGGGTGATGAGTACACCTAAAGGATTATTTGCCAAGAGGGGGTCAATGGGACTGTCCCCAGCTACTACACTGCGAGACGCGTGTGTCTAGCAGGGATATGACGGAAAAGTATCACTATATAACGACATTTATGTACCTAATTTGGCTTTTTGTGATCAATCTACATGGTTAATTATTGTTATACCAGGGCTCTGCAACCAGGTAGCTATCTTGGTTAGAGACGACTTACTGCAATGACTAGGATCTACTAGTGGTCGGCGATGATATGGTGGCTGTGAGGTCAATGGAGATATAATTTAGCCCGTGAGTTAACTAGTCCAAGGTCCAAGGGTGAGATCTGTTGAGTAGCTATACTCAATAGTTGGATGACGAACCATTCGAAAGTACATTTAGACTGTAGAGTAGGTGATCCTCATAAGATAGTGTCTCTACCTCAAATGCTTCAGTGTTTCAATACTGAAAGATCAATGGCAGAGACACATAGTATTGGGAACCCTCAGTACCTCTCGTCCCCAGTCGCTGATGTTATTTCTGAAGACTGACCTTCGAGAATAGAACAAATGCTTGATTTATTGCCTCGTGACGTGCCATATGCGTCGAGAGAAATATTGAAGAAAGCTGAATATTTGCGAACTTTTACACCTGTTTCCACGTTCACTAGTTATACCCCTGCAGAGCTTCTATCGCCGTGACTCCCACTGCCCTTTGCCAAAGTTATGATATCACCCACGTAAGGGGGGAACTAGGGATTGCCTGCTTCGTGGTGTATGTATGGTGTTTGCAAATTCGAATCTGGTCGAGTACCGTCTCTGTGCTAAGGGTTTTTAAGTGTTAAATACTGTGGATGAAGCTTGTCGTGTAGAGGGTAAGAGTTTTGAATGCAATGTTATTGGACTTGTCTTGTCATGGTTTTATAGGAAGAAGGTGTTAGTAGGATCTGTCTACCTGGCCGCCGAAAACCTTGCCCTAACTCGGTGGACTATGGTGGTTAGGTACTCTGCAACAATTACTCCCCTTACCGATTCTCTACCCCTTCCTATATTAGATTACTGTAGAATCTCTTATTCATTTCTTTAATTCTTCATTAAACTTACTCTATATAGATCTATTAACTAAGGATTTGATGGATGCTTGTAGAGGGAGAGCCTGCATTACTTTTCCTCTTTGTGTACATGCTTAAACCTTGCTGTTGGTTAGGCATAAAACTTTAAATACTAAGCATAGTGTAGTTAAGCCATAGACAGGGAAAGGCATTCTTGGTTTTATGACTTGGACAACAACGCCTTGTAGCTAAATGGTCTGAGTTTCAGATCGAAGTTAAGTGATTTGAGATGCTCGTTTGAGATCTCCAGACCTCGGAGAAATGGTAGTATTATTATTTTATTCTACTTTATCCCCTTCTCTTTTTCTTTTGGTATACTGCAGTAATATTGATACTCCCTTATGACTACAGATGGCATTTGGCACTAAGTATTACCAGCTTCAGTCCAGGTAACGCCTGTCATATTATTCCCTAGAACGAAAAGCAAAATCATTAGGTAGAACTATTCGTGAAAATACAATCTGGCAGACACCCAACAGGCACACTAAGCCCCCTCCCTCAACCTAACAACCACATTCTCCCACGGCGCACTGGTAAGCGTCGCATTAAACCGGATCTCGTTGTCCGGCCTGGCATCCACGATCCGATCAAACCTCTGCAGAAGCCGCACAAGCACATACCCAGCTCCGTAAGCGCGAACTGCTGCCCGATACAGATTCTGGGACCTCCGTTGAACGGCAAATACTCCCACCCGACCTTCCGGTCCTCCCAGCGGTCCGGATTGAACACCTCCGCGTCCGCGCCCCAGATGTCCTTCCGTCGGTGTGTGACAAATACGCTATACACGACCGGCTGGCCCTTGCGGACGTACACAGGTTCAGAACCGTCCGGGCCTCCGCCGCGGGGCAGGGTGGTATCCTTCGCCGCGATGCGACGGTTCCCCGGCACAATGGGGTAGAGACGGAGGACCTCGTTCATGAAGTAGTGGAGATAACGGCAGGATTTGAGCGAAGCGAAGGTGATGTTCTTTGGGTTTTCATAGCTGCCAAAGTCGGCCAGGATAGTGTTGCGGAGTTTCTGGAAGATATCCGGATGGCGCGCGAGGAGGAGAACGCACCAGCTTAGCAGCGAAGCGGTGGTATCTCTGCCCGCGAGGAGGATGTTGAGGAGTTGGGAGCGGAGTTCGACTGGGTCCTGCGTGGCGGCAGTCAGGCCGTGGAGGAAGACGTAGTGGTCCGAGCTGCCCTTTTCGGGGTTGATTTTGCCTTCTTTTACAGCGGCAAGTGCGTCGTCGACGAAGCGGTCGACGTACGCGTGCACGAAGCGCTCGGTTTCGCGGCTTTCTTTGTTGTTGACTATCCAGTAGAGTTTTTCGAAGCGCGAGCGCTGCGCGGCGTACCACTGGCCGCGGTCGAAGTAGAAGGGAAATTTGTCCTCGATGATTTTACCACCGCTTAGTGCGGCGGTTTGGCTTTCGACGCTCTCGCCGAAGAGGAATTCCGTGGCAGAGTCGATGGTCAGTCGGAAGAAGATGGTCTGGATGTCGATTTCGGGAGTCCATTTGGTGGACGGGTCAGCGAGCATGCCGGCCATGGCTTTTTGGACGTGGCGTTCTTCGAGATCGAGGTCGCTGACTTGGTCGCGGGTGAATTGCGGGCGGAGCAGGGATCGCGATCGCGACCAGGCTTCGCCGTCTGCTGAGAACTGGATCACGATTGACGGCGTTAGTAATTGTTGTGACTATACTCTGTGTGGCATAGGTGCAGGGGAACTCACGATGCCGGGTCCCAACAACGGATGCATGGTATTTCTTCTGGCAATCCCGAGCTCGAAGTCCTTGAACTGTGTAGCCAGAATGGCTTGCATATTTTTCGGGTCAGAAGTAAAGACGCTCTCCCTTCCCATCTGGCGGAAGCGGAAGGTCGTGACGTATCTTCCTTCACGGGCTGTCATCGTCTCGACGCGCCGCGCCGACAACATGGGGATGAGTTTCTCCTTGTCGGCGCGCAGAACTTCCTTCAACGTGTTGATGCCGAGTATATCACCCGGATAGGTGGGGATCGCACCGCAGTGCCACTTGCGAGCATTTTGAGCATGACGAAAACTGGTAACGATGGACCAAAGGAGACGCAAGACGACCGCGAGGGCGGCAAAAATGAGAAGGGGAATCATGGTGGCCGTTATCGTTCCCAGTGGGGGGTTGATGCGGTGCAACAAAGCGGCCAGAAGAAGGGTGGATGCGCAGCAATATTTAGTCCTTTTGGTGGTTCGACTCAACCTCGGGCTGTAACATCATCACCGAGGGTGTAGGTGAAGAAGTGGAGAAACACCCTAGCATAGTGGTGTATAGGAGACGAGTGAAGTGGCTGGAGTGAATTAATCCACATATAATGCATACGCATATAGATGATTTCATAATAATGGTGCCAGCCATTCGCCTAAGCTAGGCGGGCCACCGTCCCACCAAGTCATCATCTCGCACACACAATTCGGCGACGCTTAGAACAGTAACCCACTTCGGGAACGTCGAAACGCCGATCCCTCTTGGTTTGGTCATGATTCACAGTGAAGATCTTGGTCGAGCGTTGACATGCGGACTACCCTGACAGGTCGGCGTCACCCGATTGTGCTTGGGAGGGGTGGGACAGGCCCTGATCGGAGTCCGGGGAGGCCGAGCCACTTATCATCATCAGATCTTCAATGTATCAGCAATGAGCATGCGGGGGTGACGCTGACGGTGGCTACAAAGTTGAACCTTTAAGAAATCATGTGATGGACGTCATGTACTACGAGGTCCTGCCCGAGGCACTAAGGCTGCTACCTAAATGATCCTAGGGTTCCATTCCACATGACGCGGGATCGTCCATGGTTGTCCATTGACAATACGATTTAATTCACGAGCTCGTGAATGAGTGAGCTACTTGATTCAATTATGTCAGCACCGCATACAAACCAGCATGTCATGTGGCACAGCTACAGAATGCAAGTGACGACTGAAATACGAACCATGACACCGAGACTGCTACTGAAAATAGTACATAAGTCTTAGGCCAACACTCGAACGTGGGCAGAAGATTATTGATGGAGACATGACCTATCACGTCCATTGATATGTACACGTTGCGAACACCAGTTCAACCTTAGTGTATGATGCGGCCGCAGGCCATTTCACGTCGCATCTCATCCATAGCTAGCATTAACATTCAACATAGCGAGTCTAGAACTCTGGGTATCTATAACATTGACACGAGAGTCGGTCGCGTAGACATCATGACGACCCTCAGGTGATGTCCAAGATGGGTCCGTGCGACACTTTTAACAGCAGATCTCACAGCACTCGAAACAAGCCAGACCGGCGCAACTGTACCCGACTCGTTAGCTTTTTTATTGCAATGTTTGCCCATTACACTCATTGGAGATGCATGGAGGTCTCATTGGGTAGGTAAGGGGAACGTACATTCCGCAGCAGATGCCACCGCCATTTCCACCACCGCGGAGGTTCATGTTCATCTGCTCCTGGCTGGCCTGTTCGATCATTAGCTATATGGCATGGGAGAAATCATAAACAATGCACGGTAGAAAGAGGAACGGAAAAAATATGGTGTGGGGAGGCCACGTACAGGCTGCTCAGTCACGACCTGCTGCTGATTGGGAGCGGCAGGGCTAGTAGGCTGCTCCATAGTGAGAGTGTTGGGGTTCCAGGTAGGCTGCTGGGAGGTCTCTTCCTCCTTGGAAGACTTGAACATAGAGAAGCCGAACATTTTGATGGGAGGATGTAGTGTTGGTGAAGTGTGTGAGTGAGGTGAGTTAGACAAATGTTGGAAAGGGGATGAGAAAAAATGTCAAAGGATTTCCCCAACGAAAGGGACTCAGCAACGAATAAATAATCCTGGTGCCTGTTGATCACGGCACATGATCGGCGAATCCCAAATTTGTGTTAGGTGAGAGAATTACAGGGAATGAATGGCGGCTGACGCCGTGATTACGGGCCGTTTCATGTAGTCTCAGTCTCCCCTTGGGCCCCCGGGTACCTTCCATGGGGTTCATACGCTAAGAGACTTAATTTGACAGGCCTTTAGGACGAATTACCAGCTCAGTTGGAAGTTGGTGACAGCTTTGTTGACGCTGTCTGGGTGCCGGCGTAACAACCGGAGGGCTCCACTCTTGTCCCGCTCAGCCTTGTCTTAGGGCGGTTGGCCAAGCCTCCTTGGCACTTGCTTGACATGCTCAGCCTTCCACCAAATATAGCAGCATCTCTTTATTCTATTCTATTCTTGTCGCCGTGACGTGTATCGTGGATCTATCTCGAATCTAGGCTACACTTTACGCCTCACCAGTCCGCGGAGGAAGTCGAAGCTATTACTGTCGCTCTGCAACTGCCAGATCCGCCCAGTCGGCCGATCGTCCCATCCCAATTCCTCGGCGAGCAATAACCCATAGTCTCGGGTGATACCCTTAATTCGGGCCCGGGCACCGCCTTCTTCTTCTAACGTGACGACTTGATGCATATGCAACCAGTCGCCGTAATACATCTCCTCGAATGTCCTATCGAAACCCGTCCGGAGAAAGCGAGTGTGCAACTCTTCGAACGTGGTTAAGATACGCGCCAGGAGCTTCTCAAGGGTAATAGGCGCCGTTTTATTACCGAGGAAGTGTGCGGCCAGCGCGTTCAAAGACGTAGTCGGCGACGTGTTGGTGGCGTTGATGCCGATGCCGACTACTGACGTATATTCACCCGACGAGTACTGCGAGTTTACCAGGATACCGCAAATTTTGGTATAGCGCTTCTTATCCGCGTTCTCGGGATCCAGGGCATCTGTCCAGTTAGCTTAGTAGCCAGTATTCCGGACCTTATACAACTCACAAATGTCATTTGGCCATTTCATTTTGACGGGCATCTCATCGAAGCCTTTGTCGTAACTCTTGATACCTTGCACCACCGCCATGGCTGCTAGGTACTGGATGAAGACAACCGGCGCAGACTGCATCTTCTCCATCGGGTGGCGGACCACCGTTGAGAATATGAGGGCACCCGCGGGCGACACCCACACGTTCGAACCTCGGCCTCGTCCAGCGACCTGCGTAGTAGCAGTGGCGGTGAAACCGTTCGGCAAGTTGCGAAGAAGCTTTGGGTTTCTAGCCGGGTTAGAGACAGTCGGCAAAACTTAGGGATGGAGGACACACTTTTCTAGAATGGTATTGGTACTCGTGACGACCTCCCCATAGACAATACTAGAGCCAAACTCCGACGCGCCCTCCCTCATTTGCGATTGATATTGTCGGAGATTAGAATAGAATGCATGGTGGTTGAAGTAGGGGGTCAGCTTCGACGATGGCACATCCTCGTGGATCACAAGGTGCTTTACAATAGCATTGTAATCGACGATGCCCTCTTCAGCCTTGCTCGAGTCCTCTCTCGAATCATCCGGAAGGGCCTCTTGTAGAGATTCCATATTCCAAGTCTCAGGCTTCTCGATGCGGAACGTGTCATTCTCATCCTTAAGGTACTGGTGCTCTCCATCGGTAGTGATCACCTCCTGCAAGGACGAAAGAATCGAAGAAGTATCAGCTGGGTCGAGGGAAGAGATATGCAGCGACGAAAGCGACGGCACGGTCGTCGTGTTCTGCGTGACTTGCAGCCCCAACTTCGTCAAACAAGCCTTCAAGAAGTCCGTCCGCGCCCTGTCATCCGCAGCTAAGGCGTCTACCATTTTTCCGTATTCCGGACCACCGGCGTTTTTATCGAGGTTCACCGCCGCGAATCTAGATATATGAGCCTCTGTTTAAATCACATTACCAGGATACATACTCCGGATGTGGCCCCGTCAGAACGGCCGCTCCTTCACCCACTTTGCAGTAGACAACAGCCGCCGCACTTGATCCCGAGTCGACATTGAGCTCCTCTGTATAGCTGGCCAGCACCTCGACACCCTTATCTGCATACGAAGACGCATCCACAAAGACGCCACCGCCATTGTAATACGACCGGAAACTCTCCGGCACAATGCCCACATTCAAGGCCTCCTTGGAGACCTTCAGCTCCGCCGCCCGCGCACCGGCCTCACTATGATAAACGAACCCAGGGAATGCGCATCCCCGACAGATCCCTGGGAAGAAAGCCAGCTCGCGATCACCGATTACCTCGTAGGTTTTATCGCCAACCTCGAACTCGCACCGCTTGCAGCCGTAGTAGCCCCCCGCACAGAAGCCCAAGTAGGCGCCACCTCGGCGGACAAACTGTTCGATTCGGCGGTTACCTGGGCCGTTCAGGGCTCGACAATATCCAAGATCGGCTCCGCCGGGGATCACGAGTAGGGCGCAGGTGGGGGACCAAGGCTCCTTGATGAGCATGTCGGCCGTCACGGGGACAACGGCATAGTGGGGGGCGAGCAGGCGGCGGAGAGTGTAGAGGCAGTGGCGGACGGATTCAACGGTGGTTCCATTGCCTGGAGAGACAGATATTATTTAGTATAAGGTGAAATTGATCCATGTCGGTTAGGACATACCGGTGTAGACCAGGACGTTGACCCTCTTCCCCGTGGTGTTGGGGCTGGCGGATGACATTTCGGAGGTCAAGAATTCCCTCCGACAATTCCTCGTCCTGACAAACAACTCCCAGCGTCCTATTCACCTGCAATTATTTCCGGCACAATGTCACCCAAGGAGCAGAACCCGCGAGTGGTCGTGGACGTGGACGACGACGAGCCGGATGAGTGGTAAGAGAGAGGAATGAAGTGATTGCGGAGAAATGAATGACTGTTCGGTGGTGAACTGACGCGGGGAATCCGTCTATAGGGATAAGCGGATCTTCAGCACGGGCTGCTCAGGTGGGCTGCTACTCTGGACGGCTAACACCGGAAGATCACTGGACTGACCCTGCGTAGTGGAGCAGGATAAAATGAACGACTGTTACTTTGCTAAGAAGGACTGGCGGGCGTGCAAGAAAGAGGTGCGTTGGTTCCCGATACCTTGTATCCCAACACCCAACACCCAACATACCCCCAACACCACTGTAGACACCACCACATAGGTATCCTCGTGCACTGTCACACATACCCATCTGCCTCAATGCAGACCTGGCACTCACCGTTGGGCTCAATGGACACACTGCTAATTATATGCCAATGACACAGATGGAGGCGTTCCGCGAATGCTGGAAGCGCAAGGGCAACGACGAGCGCACCCAAACGAAGGACGCCTAAACCTACCCTTACTCTGTTTCCCCTAGCCTCCTATGTATTACTACGCTGTGTACCATGTACCATAATCAGATACAATCCATCTCCCCTGTTGTACAAAACAAAGAAACGCCCCATCACGTGACCATATCAAAGCTCCCAACGTAACATCAGAAAAACACGACTCACCTCCAACATCCCAGAACAACGACAGCTCCAATCCACCCACCAGACCTCAAAAATGTCACTTCCACGCAGCCTGCGGGCAGCAGAAACGCTGCTGTCGCGCACAAAAGCACCCATCCGCCCCCAACTCCGCACCCTCACCACCGCCCCGCATCGACGACAACAACAAGAAGCACCCAAACCACCCACCACCACCAACAGCAACAACACACCAGCTACACCAGCAAAGCAAGCTACCAAAATCCTCTCCCCAACCCCAAGCGCTCCCACCACGCAGAACATCTCTAAAACTGGGCTCGCCGACAGACCGCTGGAGCTGGACACCCCCCCGGAGGAGAAGATCGACTGGACGCGCTCCTTCCACGGGCTCTCGGCGGAACCGTTCCCCAAAGAAGCGGCCGACATCCTCCTCGCCGAGACAGACCCAGAAGAAGTCGAGATTAAGCCCGATGGCATCCTCTACCTGCCTGAGATCAAGTACCGACGGATCTTGAATCGTGCGTTTGGGCCCGGTGGCTGGGGACTGGTGCCGCGCAGTGAGAGTATTGTTACCCCGAAGACGGTCACGAGGGAGTATGCTTTGGTTTGTAATGGACGGTATGTGTCTTTTTTCTTATGTTTCTTTTTTTGGGTTACTGGAGGGGGGTGGTTGTTTGTTGGGTTTGGCTAATGATTGTGTTTAATGTATAGACTTGTTTCCGTTGCGCGCGGCGAACAGGATTATTTCTCGCCCGATGGCATTCCGACCGCGACGGAGGGCTGTCGGTCTAATGCGCTGGTGCGGTGTTGCAAGGATCTAGGCATTGCGAGCGAGTTGTGGGATCCACGCTGGATCCGCAAGTACAAGGCGCAGTATACGCGGGAGGTGTTTGTCGAGCACGTGGTGAACAAGCGGAAGTCAAAGATCTGGGTGAGGAAGGGTGATGACGTTTCGTACCCGTGGAAGGAGTTGAAGTGAGTGAAGGGAAGCATGGTGTTTTACTGGGTGAGGTGATATCTTTTTGAGGCTCTGGGCTGTTTGTTGTTGTGATACCCGTCACACTCTGTACTATAGGTTTCTTATGATCATTTGTATTATGAAATATCTCCAATTTGTTCAGTTTGGGTGATACTGGTAAACGGGAAAATAGATTACTGGTTGATATCGTTGGATGGAAGACACATCGTACACGCATTGATTTCCATACATAAGTACTGTTCACAGCTGGTATTACATAACGCCCCAATTTATAAAACAATTCATACCCTTTTTTATCATGTCTTATTTATTCTTCTGGCTTGCTATTCACCGAGGGTTGTTGTTCGCTCCGTATTGCGATGTGCGCGAGACGAATGCACCAGGCATCCGTTCGTTGGAGGGGTGTTGTTCGCCGGTCGGCGACTGATTCATTTGCGGCGACGGGTATTCCCCGTAGGGATCCTGCTCCGCGGGCTGCGGCATGGAGGGGAGCTCATACCGCTGGCTGGACTCATACGGACTGTCCTCGTAGTAGTGGCCCGAGTAGGGCTGGTAGTCCGCCGCCTGTGGGGGTGGCGGCAGTGGTGCAGATGGCGGTGGGGCTGGAGCCGTGGTGGCATGTCGGGGCGGAACGGGCGCAGCGAGGATGGGAACACCGCCAGTGGCAGTGGGATAGGTGCTCTGGGTGCTCTGGGTGCTGTGGGTGCTGTTGGCCTTGCGGCGGCCAGTCGATGACTCCCGGTTGAGCGTACCCTGGGGAACGCTCAATTGATCCTTTCTTGGCGAGGCAATTGGCGATTGAAAGCTTTCCGCGTCGGGTCCCTCGCCTTCCCCGGCGGAGCGGTTGGAATCGACGAAGGTACCTTGGCTGTGGGAGCTGGCCGAGGCCCCGCCTCCACGACGCTGCAAGGATCCAGAATCCCGGCCCAGGTCAAGTCCGGTCGAGCGGGAGTCACCGTATGGCATGGTCGAATCGTGGAGGCTGTCCGTAGCGGTGAGACTGGATACAGCCATCTTGTCGGTGTTGAGGCCAGGGCCGGTGTTATCGCCGCCATCGGGCTTATCATCGTTGTTGTCCTCAGCAGCAGGTTCCTCATCGGCTGCACCTGGGGCGCGGATAGGGATCTTGCGGATGGCCGCAACTAATGCGCACATGAACTTGGAGCGACGAGCCGCACGAACCGACTCAATGGCCCAGTTGGATTTATGGCAGACGGTGACGGCGAGCTCCAGCTTGTCCATATCACCCACCCCGGCGACATCGATACTCACATCCGGCTGGAAGTCACGGCTGTTCTCCTTGTCACGAACAAAGGTCTCCATTTCTTGCCGAAGCAGTTCGATGTCGGAGAAGCTCGTGCCAAATTTGATGGGGATGGTCAATGTCTCATGCATGGCATTGGAACGGGTGAAATTGTCAATCCAAAGCGTGTTCAGCACGACGTTCGGAACCTGAGTGGTTCGACGATCGGCTACGCTGGTAAAGACCGAGAAAAGTAATGAGATACGTTCCACTGTGTATGGCTTGCTGTCGATTTCCACCCGGTCGCCGACGTCGAAAGGATGTTTCACAAACAAAAAGATACAGGAACCAAGGACTTCTTGAGCGGTGGTGGCGAAGACAAAACTCAGGGATAGCAGAGAAGTGGCACCCGCAGCAATCACCGTGCCAAAGCCGCTGGTCACAAATGAGACAAAGACCAAAACGCTGATACCGAACGCAATGGTCATCAACAGATTATCCAAAACGTGAATCGCTTGGTCTACATCATGCATGCTGTGGTTCAGTGCCTTCCTGCCGCGACCAATCTCCCCAACAGTCAGGATCATCTCGTCCAAACTGATATCACCATTGCCGTCGCGGTCCAAAATCTGGAAGCATTCCTCCGCCTCCGCTTCCTTGCCTGCACCCAATACCTCGGCAATATCGTCGAAATACAACGCTTCTCGCCCCTCGATGACGAACGACATCCAGATTCGGCGGGCCAAGGCTTCCGACGACCTCTTACGTTCCAACGCGAATGTGACAGTGGAGCGAGCGGAGTTGGCATTGAACACTTCTTTACCCGTGAGCTCTTGAGCGACATCACCGAATGCTGCCGTCACCTTGTCGCCAATCCGGCCCACATTTTCCCGAATCAGTCGCAAGGGGGCCGATCCCGAACGCGGCAATCCTTTCCCTTTGGTTGCGATGATTTCGGTCATCGCGGCATCCTCGTCGCGAAACTCCTTACAATACATGGGGAACATACTCCGTGAAGCATCGTACAGTTCCCCCAGGAGGGTGATGTTGCGCTTAGATTCTTTGATCTTCTTATCGAATTGTTTTCGGTGATAACTGATCGAAATCAACTGAACCATGGCTTTCTCGGCGAGGAAAATCAGACTGCAGACGAATAAGGCAAACAGAATGTTCTTGATGGTTTTCTCCCAAGACTTGGCTCCCGTGTCATTCTCAGCCTTATTGACGGGGTTCAACGTCATAATCTACACGCAGCTGGATTAGCACGTTGCCTACTGCAACACCAGATTGTGAAACATACCGGTAGGAAGGTGACCAGGGAAACCACAGCCCAGAGCACGGTGGCGATGGGAAATTTCAGGCTCCGTAGAATCAAGGCATACTTGCGGGTGCCGGAGCTGACGATACCGACCAAGAACTGGAAGACATAGGGGAGGAAGTGGGCGACGAGTTTGCACACCCACAAGCTGAGCCAGACGACCTCAATCCAGGTAAAAAACCAATGCAAGGGCACGCCGCCAATCCTCGTGTCTTGACGGACCGTGGCACCTACAATGATGGGAATTGCAATCAAGAGCGCCAGGGGAGTCACGTAGATGAGGTATCTGGTGATGATGGAGAAGTTGAAGATTGCTTGGTAGATGCGCCCCATGCGCGTCAGAGTCCCATCTTCTGGATCGTCCAACGACCGCCCTCGCGCCGAATCAATCCGTTTGCGACGGCCCGGACCGGTGACCAGGGCGGCCTTTTCTTCGGCAGCGGTCTCCCCCGGCGATTCATACAGATTGGGGTCTGGGCTCGCTGGGTTGATACTGGTCTTGCGAGCGCCAGTTTGTCCCCGGCTGGGGACGGGGTTTAGAGGAATTTCAATGGTGACATCGTTTGGGTTGGCCATGCCGTCGCCAGAATAATCAGGAATTTGTTGGAAGCGATGTGCTGACAGTCGCTTTTCAGCGAGTCCAGGCCGAGTCGACATTAGAGCTGCAGACACGGCACGAGCAGTGGGATTGGCGGCCAGTTATATTGTTAAAAGATCGACAGCTGTCCAGCAGCACAAAGAGGGGTAAAATTAGTAACTGCTCGCAAGCGACTCCAAAGGACAGTCGATTTAGGTTATCGAATGGCAAGCATCAAGAAAGATTCTAGATGCGACTCCCACTGGTTCTTGTGGGGGAGGGGTGGGTCAAACCTAGCACCCAAGGTGAAGCAGGAAAAGATCAACAGATCAATTCGTATCTGAAAAAAGGAGCGTAACTCGTGAAAAGAGAGTGAGTGAAGGGTCGGGGGATTGATACGAGACAAACGAAGGACGGTCACTCTGGTCAGGAGGTGAGTAATATTATGAGGGAGAAAGAGAACGAGAAGGGGAAAGGAAGAAAGAAGTGTGCGAAGAAACAAGCAGCATGAAAGGGCAAAAAACAAGTGTCCGACGGGTACCACTTCAGGGCAAGAAATGGAAAAAATTCAAAATTCAAAAATTAAAAAAAAAGCCACCTCAGGCTATTCCAGGCACCATCATGGGGCGTGTTTCACCATCGATTAGAATCCTGTGGTTCCCGTCTTGACGTCCAACTCCATCGCGTCATGAACAGGGGGTTGCCTGGGAATTCTGGCTGGAATTCTCTCGGGTCAGTCCATTCTCGACTTCATTCTCAGGGCGTGTAAGGTTCAGCGCATCCTGGGAGATTCTTTGACGAGGGGGGAGATCCCGTCCATGGTGACTGTCGACTCGTTGTACTCAGTCCTTCGTACTAGTACACAGCCGTACTATGTACAAGAGGATGAAGACCGGGTGGATATTCGAGGTGATGAACACCCAATCAGCCCTGTGCATGTTGACTGGACGATCTTTTTCTCAGTTTTCGATTTTCTTTTTGTGCTTTGCAGCCCGTGACCCTGCCAAGTCTCCGGCCGTCTCCACCCACGAGAAAAATATCACCCGAACGGTATCTGATTGGGTGGAAGTTCAACGCCGGCTGCCTGGATAGGTAACGCGACCGTACCGTAATTTGGCCAGGGCTCAAAGTATTATTAGGAGTGTGTGTTCCATCATATGTACGACTACGAGTACTGGTGTTTAATTAGATAGCCAGGAGTCGTACATCGACGTACCCTCTTGGTTAGATCGATCCATCGTGACTTGGTCTAGAGCCTCTGCATTGTCTCAAGAGATCGGTCTCTCCGTTCTATCCCCAAATTGGGTAAAATCTGACACGTATCGATCAGCAAAATTCAATGGTGTCTGGACATGAATTGAATTCGATTGATAATATCCTTCGCAAGGATCCCAAAGTGGCGGAAATGAAACCAAAGTGGCAAACTGAGTCGGGTGCAAATCTCTAGCCGAGGGGGTAACTCTTGCTCAATGTGAAATAGTCAACTCATAGTACGAGTATAATTATGGTGATCGACAGTGAGATGGATATTGATGACATCGGATAGGGCATCTTCTACGCTATCCCACAATGGACGACCACAACGGACCAGTTCCTGTTCCTTCACTAGGAACTGGTTCAAGAAACCAACATCACCATGCTTTTTTTCCTCTCCTGTGTACTGTGTATCCCTCGATCGATCCGATTTGGACTGACGTAAAACGCCCTTCAGATTCCCGTCCATGGTTAAGCTCACCGTTAGTGACCCCAATGACCAATCGCTGGGCCCCATCAAACAACCAGTCCCAAGGAACCAATGAAACAACGTGGCTCTGGCGACGATCGTCCTGGCCATTGCGTTGGTACTTGGGAACTCTCAACTCACCATCTCAGACAACAAGGTCATGCTGGAGAGGGAAGTGGGTCTGTTCTCTACGTGGTAACATCATTATTGCGTTGAAGCCTGAGTTTCTACATATACTATTCCAGTTTTGCATAGTGTTGCGGTGAACAACGCATCTGGAATGTTGATCAAGCATCATAGATGCATAAAGCGGGGTCGGTAGTTGAGCATGAACAAGGATCGGTGGAGACGAGTACAATGAGAGCACTCAACTGTTCTGGCAGAGAGAGAGAGTCCCTTCACAAAGAAAGATGGTCAGCTAAATATATATCGACAGGCGCATACTATACAGAGTGCTCCGTACAGTCTTGGTTGAAGTATCGGAGTCGGACTGAAATTTGAACCCGACATATAAATGCACAGACCTTAAGTAGTGAATATAATTTCAGAGACCGTTGATCAATTGAGGTTTCGAGAAGTCGGTAGCTAAATGTACGACTTTATGTACATAATACTACGTACAATTGGAGGAAATTGAAATTTATGACCCATTTAGGGTTTAGTATACTGATATTATACCGCCTACCATATTTGCTATAGTAAGCGGGAGGGGGCCACTGAGACAGGTTTCTGCCATGCAGAATAGGTCTATTTTGACAGGCGGTCATCCAGTAAGCCGCTAAACCATAAACGGGTGTCATAAATTTCAATTTCCTCCCCCTGTATCGAAATGCCAAGAATTTTATGAATTTCAAAACGTCAGAATGTCACAAATTACAATATTGACATTTTGAAATGCCAGGTGGAGTATCAATCAACGTTGTCCATTGTACACATATCTTGTGAAATTGGTTGTACAATTATACTCTCCAAGTATCATATTCACTAAAGTGGCAATTGGAAGGGCATTAAATGTCTGAGAAGTGTTTGGGATTTGAATTTCAAAACGTCAAAATGTCAAAATGCCAAGAATTTCATACTTTCATGATTTTCAGTCTCATTTGCTTTTTACCAAATAGAGTGTTTCTCCAGAACTTCCATGTTTCAACTTGTAGCCTTACTCTTTCAAATAGAGAAGAAATGGTCACAGCTAATTACTCTTCATCTTTTTTTTGGTCGAAGCATTGGTATGCACGTTGCCGAAAATCAATGTTTATTTATATATACTCAACAGGCTCTAGATACCTTGTTACTTGAATGTATGCAGGACTCCACAACAGTATAGCTAGTAGTTCAAATAGCCCAGTTTCCACCGGTGAAGCAGAGCACGCACGTGTTTGTCGATGGAATTCCACAATAGTAACTCTAGCTTAACTTCGAAATATTTCCGGCGTTGGTAGATTGGTACCTCCAGTTGAAACAACTCTGACCGAATCATCTTGGTCCATCGAACAGTATTACAGACAGTTCAAGAAACCGTTCACTGTCTCTTACATTCACTACGATCCCGCCCTTGAGGGTTTGCCTTCCAGGATAGTAACTTTGTGAACCGTTGGAGGGAACCACCAAAAGAACTAGTGACTTCCAACCAAAAGTCATAATTAACCCGAGTACAGCTGAGACCTGCCCGCTGTTGTCTCACCCCAAAAAACAAACAGCTCCCGGATTTCAACCCCCTACGCCTCATCAGACAGCGCCAAATGCACCGGCAGCAGCAAGATTTGCGAGCTGGCGAGTAACGTAACACGGTCAACTCCATCAAAGCGACCATGACCTCGACCAAAAGGCGACGAATGCAGCGGCATGAATTGTGGATGTGTCTGCACATTCGCACTGGCCATATGCCGAATCAGATCCTGGCGCTGCGCCGGGCCTATAATCCTGACATAGAACACGTTCGCGTTATGGGTGGTATTATCAGGAGCATGGGGTAAGGTGATGTACCCATTGCGGACTAAAGGTAACAGACTGACAAAATAATGGTCCCAGATATACCTTCTGCACGCATTGATACTACTCGCAGCTTGAAACTATGCCTACAGAAACGCAGCCTGCAGCTCAGAAAGAATAGCATTCAACCCCAGATCCAGCTACTGGTAGTGATCAACTTCGCCGCGCATGAAGCGCAAACGGTTGGTCCCGTTGTCGTAAAGAATCTCGGCTCGCTCGACCAGCGCTGGATCATTGACGTGAAGGGCACCTCCCTGACCACCGGCTGTAAAGTTCTTCTTTTCCTGAACGCTGAGGCAGCCGACGTTGCCAATCGTGCCGAGCATCTGGCCCTTGTAGGTGGACGTGCATGCCATGGCTGCGTCCTCACAGACGAACAGCCGGTGTCTTTTGGCGACCTCCATGATTTTGTCCATGTCGCATGCAAGCCCGCCATAGTGGACTGGGGATGATTGCTCGCGTCTTGGGAGTGATTGCCCTTTCGATAAGGGTCGCGTCAATGTTCATCGTGGCGTCGTCTACATCTACAAATACAGGTACGGCGCCCCGCAGCGCAAATGCGTTCACGGTTGTGACGTATGTATAGCTGGGAACAATCACCTCGTCGCCGGCTTGCATATCGGCAAGTATGGCGGCCATCTCCAGGGCAGAGGTGCAGGACGAGACAACCAGTGCTCGGCCGTTATTGTCTTTCATGAACTGTTCCAGCCATTGTTCACAGGGCCGGGTGTATTTTCCCTTGCCGGACAGGTTGTTCAGAGTGAGGATATCTTCGATATTGGCCAATTCGGTGCCAATAATGGTGGTGCAGGTTGTAGGAATAGTATTAGTGTGCTGATCCATATTCGGAAGTGTTGCATATGTGAATCTCGAGGGACACACAAGGTAAGCACCATGATTAAGTGCGCCATTTAAAACCCATATGCGGACCAGAAAGCAGGAGTCGTGTATTTTAAACCAGACGGGTAAAAAACACATAGGAGGATATTTGGTGACACAGGGCCCACCTGGCAGAGGAGACTTGACTTTCTTTCAGTTGGAACCGGGCGCTGACCCTCGGAAGATATAAATACGAATCCCGGATGGATGTGAGATAGCATGATCGAATATTTTACGGGAATCGTATCACAGACCACGATGGAAGAAACATTCCATTTACGCTGGGGCATTCTAGGTACGTACTTACAATGCATAATGGATATATTTCCGTACAAGAAGAGCAATGTTAACATCAAATAGGCACAGGACACATCGCCAAGTGTATGTTCCCCCTCAAGCGGAAGCAAAACTTTTCTAACTAGTCCAGATTTCGCAGAAGACCTCCTCATCGACCCGGCCACAAGGGAACGAATCGATATCGTCCACCTCCTTTCCGGGGTAGCGTCTTCTCGCTCAGAAGATGTCGCCCACGAATTCATGACCACAGTCCGAGCCCCGTCTTACTGCCAAGCATACGGCAATTACTCCGATCTAGTCAACTGCCCTACCATCGACGTGGTCTATATCGCGACACCTCATTCTCACCACTTCCAGAATGCCATGCTGGCGCTCGAAGCGGGAAAACACGTGCTGTGTGAGAAAAGCCTGACTGTGAATGCCGCACAAGCCAAGAAGTTGTTCGCTGTGGCGGAGCAGAAGCAGCGGTTTCTCATGGAGGGACTGTGGATACGGTTCCTCCCAGTTAGTGTAGAGGTGCGTCGACTTCTCCAAGCCGGTGCGATTGGGACCATCACCCGTGTCTTCGCAGATAATGGTCTGGGAGTGGATCCATACAGGGAATTTCCGACGGGCGACCGCATGGTTGTAAAAGAACTGGCTGGCGGGGCGCTGTTAGACCGTGAGTCTCAAATGTCCGTCCGGAAGCCTATCTCTGGCTATCACTGACGGTATATGAATCAGTTGGCGTCTACTCCATCCACTGGGTCCTCCAAGCCCTCGCCAAGGGAAATCGTCGCCCGATCCAGATCTTCTCCACCATGACAAAATACCCTATATCGGGAGTCGACGAAACCACCACCATCCTGATGAAATTCGCCCCCAGCACAGCAGACCGACCCGAAATACAAGCCACAGCGAGTGCCAGTCTACGTGCCAGAAGCAACCCAGACGGCGAGACCGCCGCGGTGCGCATTCAAGGCGATGAAGGCGAAATCCAAGTCTTCGGTTGGCCTTGGTGTCCGTCCCAGCTACGGGTTATCAAACAGGGACCCGGGATAGACACTCCGAGGACGATGAGCATCGACGATGTCAGCTTTCTATCCGACGATGTCAGCTTCGTATCCGACGATCCATACGGCCTCTGCTTCGAGGCGGACGAGGTCGCACGTTGCATTCGCCAAGGTCTGCTAGAGAGTCCCGAGATGCCCTGGCTAGAGAGCCTGACCGTCATGGAGATCATGGATACAGTGCGACGGGAGAACGACCTCAAATTTCCTGAGGAAATCGAGACCTTGGAGTATCCTGTAGCACTACCTGCTAAAACATCCTAAACCTCGCATTACCATTCCAGAGCTACATCGCAATTCAACAACTTCATATAACCACTAATATACGTCCACCAACCTCAAACATCCTCCCTCCCACACCCCCGTGTAAA